AAACAACAATATAAGCGCCAATCAGACCATATCCAATGTTTCTTTGTTGAACGTTTAAAGTTTCCTGAGAGAACTTGACTGCTCTATTGATGAGGAATGGCTGACAGAAGTTGAAGCCAATCAGACAGAGCCGAGGCGGGACGACTGCCAAGATCGACCACTTCAATCTTCCCACAGTTGTGGTAAACAGAGCATTTGCGCTGGGCTTGTCCACTTTTGAGGAGAGGAGAAAGTTAGTAAACTGTTCAGTGAGAGTAGTTTTGGATGTGCACTTACGTCGCGCCCATGCTGAGCCCAGTACATTGTGCATATAGTCTGCACGCAGAAATTTATCCAACTGGAAGAGATCATCCACAGTCAAAGCATTGGAGTAACCCTTCTTGAACAACTCATTGAGCCACCAGAACGAAATGCGTTTGTATATACCACTTGTCGCCTCCGGCGGGCAGTTAGCATATTCTGGAAGGAGATGTCTTCGTTTATCTTTACACTCCACTATAGCCAGAAATAGCTTCACCGCCAACCTTGTAGAGAACACAGTAGCTGCAAGATTTAATTCAGGCATCAGTGCGTAGCTGCGGGACCGTTCAATGTCGAACAAGAATGTGAAGAAGAGGTATAAGTTGAGTAGGAGTGACGGCCTGATCGAGCGCATGTGTTCCACATATGAGAAAACGCCTAACAACAATGCTCCAGCAAAGCTGACAGCGGCGGAGGATAACCCGATATGCTTCACATGAGCATTGCGGCTTGCCCATACTACCAGAAGGGCCAGCTCGAAGCCAGCGAAGAGGGCCCATCCTATCTGTTATGCGTGTGTTAGCGGCAGTCATTACACTGTGGAGTACATCTTACCAGCTTTATGTACAACAGTTTTGACTTTGTGACCTTTGTATGTCTTCTCCACAGGTAGAAAGACCTGAATGGAACGATAGCTAAGAGTATAGATAAAGGTACAATCGAAAGAAAAACCTCCGAGAAGAGGAGAGTGAAGTCGAACCCCCCTCGACAGTAGGGCCCAGCATAGGGACCGAAGGTGTTATCTACCAAGGTGCAGTTCACATTCGGAGTCGATGTCTTAGAGAGCATGACTGTGACTGGTGAGAGCTACTCAGGGATTGGAGACAAACATTAAGGAAAGTATGAAAGAATGGGATGCCGGCATTGATAATCTGATGTCTCCTTATGCTTCAAGGAGTTTTCGCCAATACGAAGGCTGAGTGGGCCGGTGGCAGAATGCTGCTTTCCTTATTTACCTGCCTCATCGGCGTCCATGTGTCTGCACACCAGTACGAAAGGCTTGGACTCGGCGGTAGTGTGTGCATGTGGACCTACAGGCCCAATGCTCTGCAATGCCACAACATCGATGTTCCACTGGCGCACAGACACTACTGTTCGCCTTCATGAGTCTGCCGGTAAATTGTACGTAGCCCTAGTACACTGAGTTTTCTCTCAATTCCCGCGTAGATGGTTAAAGATCGGCACACCTCACTGCGATCGACTTCGTGAAGTACAAATGCGGATATCATGCAAGCTAGTGCAGATATCATGCGTAGCTGCTATGCTCGGCTTAGTAGTTGTAGGAATGGGAGCATGTCCCGAAACCTGGTCCAGGGCCAGTGCATGCGTGCTCAATACGTTGGTAAGACATACCATATGACAAGGGACGTGCATGGTCATTTGGGTTAGGCGCATTTTCCATCCGAATTTGTAACAAAGATCGACGCCACCCCGTCGCCCCGTGTTCCAACATTAGTTGATGGTGGTTCGGGAAGGGGATCCTCAACCCTCATTGCACAACCGCACTGTCGCCTTGGCACGGCTCAGATGTGAGCTTATGGTTAATGAGTGCCGAGCTATTGCCGTCAGAATGACGATCGCGCTTAATTTTCCCTGACATCTGGCAAATACGGCAGGCTTACCTATTCCCGTTGGCTTGTACATCTATCGCCATCGTTTGTGCGAGACTAGAACCAAGCAATCTATCCGTGGCTCCCATCTGCCACTAGGATCAATTCAGGGAATGTCACCATACCGCAAAAAAACCTACAAGAACTATATTTTCGGCGTTTTCTGGGCCTCGAGGCTCATAAGCATGAACAAAAAACGCAGTCTTGTCGCATCAAACTATAATTCGCCTACAAAAACAGACCTCGAATTTTGAGTTAACCTTTTGGCGGAAGAGTGGAGCCGCCTCGCTTCGCCCGGCCTCTGCTTGTTGTTCCTGCTGTGCAGTGATTGCTGTTCTGAGTAATGTTGCGGCCTAGACTCCGCGAGTTTGAACACCTGTGCTGTGACTGAGATTGCAAATTTCTCCTGGGTTCGTTGGATAATCCATCGAGATCTGCAATCCCATGCATCCAAGAAGGGCTGAGCTTGTGGATCGACAGTCCCATGAGACAACAACAAAGGTTAGCGTACATTTGATACCGGAATTAGGAAGACTCCATTTAGCACACAGGCTAATTCTGCCACATCTGCTGGCTGTTGTCTGGCCGTTATGTGTATGTTTGGAGAGGGGGTGGAACCTAAAACATCAGTACCGTCAATATGTCAGTTCAAACAATGGCTGGAGAAAAGCAATGTTTCTGGTCAAGTTTTCCTTCTAGAAGTTCATATTGTTTGACAATGGAAGAAATGTTTCGTGTGACCTGACAAATCAGATACTCAGCACTTAACGATACGGGGAGGACGATACGCGCTCGCACTGGTCCCCAGCAGAATTGCCATGGCTACGAAAGGGGCAGGTGGATCGGTGGGCACTGAGACCCGCACAATGAAGCTCAACGAGTCCCATGCGAGATTCGTGGTCCGAGGTAACGCAGTCGTAAAGACCCTTCACCGGCTTGCAATATGACTTCATGTGTAACGGTCGTAGTTGCAGTGACGATCTTGCTGCCTTGAATTGACAGTTGGAGGCCTTGTTGGCAACTCCGGAGAAATGTTTCACAATGACGTCTCGAGCAATCTGGTGCTGTTTTCATACTAGGCGGAATGAATGTGGCTTGCGCAGAAAGGATGAGAGTTAATATCCAGAGACTGGGCCTTGTGTAGGCGAATGTTCGGGTTCTTAGACGGGCCGACTGACTCAAACCCGTGTCCAGATTCGGCGACCAGGTTTTTCACATTTGACCGCATTTGAGTCAAGACACTTGGCTACCAGCGTGGAGGACGGGGATCATGGACAGGGCGAGGCGATAGAAACTGGCATGGAACCTGGCGGCAAACCTGTGATACGTCAGCGTTCTCAAGCATGACATGGCAGGGATGGTTTGGAGTGCACCGCATATGGATTTTCTGGATGCTGGTGTGACCTGTGCTGGCCGTGGCAGGCAGACGAGCGGCTGGGTAATGGATTGGGTAAAGGGTGTAAGTAGACAGGCGACCGGATCTCTGGAATGCAGCGGCTGAAGCCGGCAGATGGCCAGTGATCAGCGAAGACAGGGGGACGATGCCCCAGACGGTGGCTTGGACCAGTGGGAAGCGGAGCCTGAGGGTGCGTTAGCCGTTATGTGGACACTACTACGGCGATAGTAGCGGCACACCCCGCCGGACGGGCAAGCCGGTCCCTGTGCAAGCAACTAGGCGGCGCCTGTCGCAGACGTTGGTAGAGACGCCATCTGCAGCCATTTGTGCGAAATGAACGAGGTGGCGTGCGAAGACGCAACGGAGAAGGCGTCTCCGACAGCGGGAACGGGGGCGGAACCGGGGGCGGGATGGCAAGCGGGGTCTGTAAATACGAGTGCGGGTAGAGTATAGCGATATGGCTAGGTGAGGATGGATGGCTGCTGGCCTCCAGATGGACTCAAGATGGCCCCCAAACGAAGCCTCGTCTCGGCGTACTACAGACTTGGTAGGCGTATGCAGTGTCAAGTCCACCAGAAGCAATACGAGGTCGCTCCAGGCCCAACCAGACGCTGGGCAGCGGGGACGTCGATCTGTCCGTCCTTCCGTCTCTCCGTCTCCCCGTCTCCCAGTCTATTGTGGAAACCGACTTACATAAGCGGGTCGTGGGTTTTCTTCTTGCAGCTGAACGCTAGTCCCAAAACTGCCAGACGCCCACACGCCCAAACCCTCACCTTTTTCCATCCACGTTTTTCTTCCCCACCGTGAACACGAGCTGCTGCGTCCACCACGTTGCAATACATCAACGCCACAATATGGATGAAATTGGCCCTAGCAGGATTCCCGTCATATCACCGCTGCCGGCGTAGTGCCGACGTCACTCCTTTGCACCTTCCTGCTCAACTGCCAGCACCCGCCTTGGCCGCCTCGCCCGCCGACTAGACAGCAGACGTTTTGCTTTTCCATGTTGGGAGATTGGGTCCCGGGCCGCTGAACATCCGGTGCTTCATGTTTCCCCAGAAGAAATGCACCTCCCTACCAGTCTGTCCAGCGATGGCCACTACGAGCTTCCTTGGCTGCAAGTCACGTTGCCGATCGCTTCATCCCTACATGTCCATGGCCACTCAAGGGTCCTTGCATCTAGCGCCTCTCCCTGCTCAACGACCATGCGTGCCTTTCTGCCTGCAAGCACCGGCTGTTCGCCTTCGCGTTGTGTGCTACTCAAGTGTGTGTGGCTTGCAATAGACTAAAATACTCAGTAGCCAATTCACCACAGCCCTGCAGACTGGGATGGAGCGGTTCAGGAGTCGCAAGCCCCGCGGCTGTCGCACTACTCGTTTAAGTCATTCGAGAGGCAATAGCAAGTCCTAAAAGAGGTGGCCGAACGGGGCGTTCCGCCTCAGGCTGCTGCATATTTTCTGTCATTGACCTTTCGACGTGAATGCCTTGAATTTCCATTGATTGCTTCCAAGCCTGTCTTGCTCACCATTTCTTGCCATACTTGCGCCTTAAACACCCTTCCTCTATCCCTTCCCTCTATCTCTCATAGTAAGAAATCATAATTTCGGTATTTTGCTAATCAGCAGTGTTGTCGAATACAGTACCGCAGGCCTTGGTATGTTCTTTCTTCTGCACACTCATCCGCTTGTTGTCCTATACTGCCTGCCAACTGCGAAGCATTCAAGGCATTGTTTTGTTTACCTTTTCTGTGCTATCAATTGACTCCATGACCTGCCGAGTTTCTGCTCACTCTACTCATTGTCCTTTAGGTATTCTATAATCACAACCAACAAATGGCATCTCGTGCGAACAATCAGATGGAGCAATGTCTCCAATCAATTTGGGCTCACGTCCTCAACCTACCTCATGTGCCCCTCGACCAGTCGTTTCTGTCCCTGGGCGGCGACTCCATTTCCGCAATGCAGGTCGTTGGTCAGTGCCGCAAGGACGGCTTGAGTCTTGGCGTCCAAGACGTTCTACGGAGTCGATCTATCACCCAGCTGGCAACTGCGGTCAAAGAGGTGGAGAGCTCGTCATATGACCACGAGGAGTACTTTGATGAAGACTTTGACCTTTCACCGATCCAGTCTCTCTACTTCCAACGGCCAAACACACATGGCCACTTTAACCAATCATTCTATCTTCGAGTCGCACGAATAACCAGTGCAAACGAATTCCATGCCGCAGTTAGACAGCTTGTCACTCGTCATTCAATGCTACGCGCTCGTTTCTCCCATTCAGCCGAAGGCGGATGGCAACAGCGTCTCACAAGTATGTCACCCTATGTGACTCTGCTTCGTCCTATCCCCTTGCTCAGCTTCAGCCTTCATACATGAAACATACCTAGATTTACTATTTACGCAGCTAATCATTGCTCTAGACGACATTAATGGGTCTTATCGCTTCCGCCATTCTACTGTTACCTCCCAGGCCACAATAGACGCTTCCATTGAGGACACGCAGCAATGCCTTGATCATGCCGTTGGGCCACTCTTCGCCGCTGATTTCTTTGATTACGGAACTCAGCAATTTGCGTTTGTCACTGGCCACCATCTCGTGGTTGATCTAGTCACGTGGCGACTTTTGTTGGAAGAACTCGAAGAGATCTTGAAAGGCGGGCAGCTTTTGGCGCCAGCGCTTCCGTTCCAGAAATGGGCGGAACTGCAACAAGAGCATGCAGAGTCTCTGGAACTCGGTGACATTCTCCCTGAAGTCGATGTCCCGCACATGGACTTTTCGTATTGGGGCATTCAGCACCAGGATAACACCTATGGCAACGCAAGCCATGCCAGCTTTGAGCTCGACAACGAGCTCAGCTCGGCATTTCTCACGACTTGTCACAATGCCTATAAGACGGAGCCGGTTGAAGTCTTACTCGCGTCTCTAATTCAATCTTGGTCCCTAGTTTTTACTGACCGACCAATTCCCGCGATATTCAATGAAGGCCATGGCCGCGAGCCATGGGACTCCAGTATCGATATCACTCGTACGGTGGGATGGTTCACTGCTTTGTCACCTATTCTTGTGAACCCATCCGAGAAACTCACGGATACAGTTCGCACGATAAAGGATTTCAAACGCCGCATTCCTGGTAACGGTCGTCCGTACTTTGCTCGGCGATGCCTCACCGAGGGTGGTCGCGAAAGTTTCAAGTCACATTGGCCAATGGAGATCTTATTCAACTATCTTGGCCAATATCAGGTATGTCGAAGATTTATTCGTTATCAACATTCCACTGATATGTCTGTCAGCAACTTGAGAGGGCGGACGCTCTTCTTCAGCCAGTGGGCACCATGGCTGGTGAGACTGGTAAGGCTGGAGGTACTTCTGACTTTGGCCATAGTACTTGCAGATGGGGACTTTTCGAAATCTCCGCCTTTGTCTTCAAAGGTCGTCTCAAAGTTGCATTTACTTTCAACCGCGATATGCTTCATCAAGCAAACGTCTTGAGATGGGTTTCGGAGTGCGAAGCAACCATTTCAAATATGATTCGCGGACTCAATGTGTTGGAGCCAAAGCCAACTCTCAGCGATTTTCCACTTCTATCTCTAACTGAGGAAAGCTTCAACTCCATTCTCGGTAGACTTTCGGCCATGGGAATTCCCGACACCGACGTGGAAGACATATATCCCTGCTCCAGTATGCAGGAAGGTCTATTACTATCACAGACTAAAGATTCTGGCTACTATGCTGCTGCTACACTTCATGAGGTCTTAATGCCAGAGTCCCAGATGTCTTGGAAGACCGTTGCTGAGGCTTGGCAACAAGTTATCAAGCGCCATCCAGCATTGCGAACTGTTTTCGCCGAGAATGTGGGCGTGAAGGGTCTCTACAACCAGATTGTCCTCAAGAACATTGAGGCCAACGTCGTCCACCTTGAGGCTGCGGATGAAGATGATGCTATCAGAATCATTGAGCAGCAGAGATCCATTTCTTACAATCACGGCCAATGCCCAAACCATCGCCTCACAATCTGTGATACGGCCGACGGAAGAATCTTCTGCTCTCTGGACATTAGCCATGCAATCATGGATGGGCATTCTATGAGCTTACTTATCAGTGAGCTGAGGGCAGCATGTGAGGGACAACTTGCACTCGGCTGCACTCCGCTCAGTGCATACATTGCATGGCTTACCCGGCAGCCAGAGGAAGCCAGCCTGGAATTCTGGAAGTCCTACCTACATGGTAGCGAGATCTCTTCATTTCCTGTTCTCGACGATGGACAAGGGCAGCTTCTAGAAAAGAAGCTAGTCACGATTCGCATGGATCTGTCTAGCATTAGCTTGCCCGACTTCCAATCCTTCTGCAACGCCAATGGTATCACACTGTCCAATGTCTTTCATACTGCATGGGCTCTTACAATCAGTTGCTATATGGGTAGCGATGATGTCACGTTTGGATATCTGACATCTGCAAGGGATTCGGAAGAAATTGAAGACGTGGAGAGCATCGTCGGTCCACTGATCAATACTCTAGTCTGTAGGGTAAACTTTTCCGATGGATCCCGATGTCTTTTCGATGTATTACAAGACGTACAAAGAGACTATATGGAGGCTCTGCCACATCGTCACATCGCCCTTGCTGATGTTCAACACGCCCTTGAATTGTCAGGTGCGAACTTGTTCAACACCGCGCTGTCGTACCGTCGCTTGCCTCAGGATCAGGCTGTAAATCATTCTGGAGTCCGCTTACAGGAAGTTCGCCCAATCTATGACCCGACTGAGTAAGTTACAGATTCAATATCAAATTCTTGAAGAAAAAACTCTGCCATCCTTCTACTAACATGTTGCCTAGGTATCCGGTCAGCATTAATATTGAAGTTGGTGATGACAGCACAGCAGTCGATCTTGATTATTGGACGGATCACCTCACTCCAGATCAAGCTACAAACGTCGCCAACACTTTTGTTCGAGCTTTGGAGAATATTGTTTTCCATTCAAAACGACGCATTTCAACTTTGGAACATATAAGTCCAGAGCATCTCCGCCAAATTCACGACTGGAACATCATGCCAGAAACCATCAATGAATGTGTACACGACAGATTCTTTCAATGGGCTAACCGCCAGCCCGATGCTCAGGCAATATGTGCACATGACGGAGAATATACGTACGCTGAATTGGAGGTCGTTACTGATCGATTAGCACATCATCTCGTCCAGCTAGGCGTAAGGCCCGAGACATTTGTTCCAACATGCTTTGATAAAAGCATGTTCGCTATCATCGCCATGTTGTCCGTTATCAAGGCAGGTGGCGCTGCTGTTCCTCTTGATGCCACGCATCCTGCGAATGCCCTACAGACACGTCTTGAGGATGCTGACTCGAAGATTGTTTTAACGACATCCACACGCGCCGAAAAGTTTGAAGGGCTAGTAGACAATATTATTGTTGTAGATGACTCCCTATTACAGAGTCTTCCAGCAGTTCGCGGTCCGATCAACACAGGCGTACAGCCGCATCATCCAGTCTTCGTCATCTTCACTAGCGGTAGTACCGGAAGACCCAAGGGCGTGGTACTCGAGCATTCTGCTATGGTCACCAGTGCCGAAGCACACGGATCAAGGATTGGTCTGGATCATAGTGCGCGCATGCTGCAATTTGCTTCTTACACATTCGACAACTCACTCGAAGAGATGTTTACTACTCTCCAGAGGGGAGGTTGCGTGTGTGTCCCCTCTGAAGCTGATCGGGTCAATGATCTTGCCGGAGTTGTAACCAGGCTTAATGTTAACATGATGGACCTCACACCGACAGTAGCTTCCTTGCTTACTCCGGAAGAGGTTCCAACGCTAAAGCGATTGGCCCTCGGTGGAGAGGCCCTCACTAAGGCGATGGTCGAGCTTTGGAGCCCACATGTATCACTATTCGGCCAATACGGACCCAGCGAAGCGTCAATTAACTCCGCGTTCAAGGACTTTAGTGATGGTCGTGGTGAAGCAACCAATATCGGCAAAGCTGTCGGATGCGTCACATGGGTTGTTGATCCTGAAAACCGTAATCGCTTGATGCCGATAGGTTGCAAAGGAGAACTTCTTCTCGAAGGGCCAATTCTTAGTCGTGGCTACCTGAAAGACATGGAAAAGACGCAGGCTGCTTTCATCACTGATCCGGAGTGGGCCCGCGTTACAGGACCGACAGGGCGTCGGTTCTATTGTACCGGAGATCTTGTTCATTATACTTCAGAAGGTGAAATGATGTATCTGGGTAGGAAAGACTCGCAGGTCAAACTTCACGGGCAGCGCATTGAGTTAGGTGAGATTGAGCACCACCTCCAGCTCAACTTGTCGACCAGCGCCAAATCGGCCGTGGAACTAGTCAAGTTTAACGACATCAACGCTACTAAAGCTCTGGTAGCATTCTTGTGCCTGTCTGAAGAAGAGGAAATGGTGGCTATCGGCGAAATGACCGAGTCGTTGCGAGCAATGGCGAAGCAAGCGGAAATAGGCCTTGCTAATGCGCTACCTGTTTATTATGTTCCTTCGGTTTTCATGCCAGTCACGCGCATGCCAATGACTACCTCAGGCAAGCTTGACCGAAAAGTGTTACGAACATTGGCAGCAGCAGTTTCAGATTCGCAGCTCGCATCCTACCGGCTAGCAGGAAAGAGTGGCCGCACACCCGAGGGGCATATCGAAGTCACCTTGGCGCGTGTCTGGGCTTCTGTGCTGAAGCTCAGTGATGGAGCAAGCGCAATTGGCGCAGAAGATTCTTTCTTTCGACTCGGTGGTGATTCCATTAGTGCTATGAGACTGGTGACTGCGGCTAGGAAAGATGGCATTCTTCTGAACGTGGCCAATGTCTTCTCACATCCAAAGTTGGTCGACCTCGCAGCCACTGCTATCGTTTCCTCCGAAGAGACATCGCTCGTCACGGATGCGACTCCCTTTGAGATGCTCCCAGCAGCTAACCGTCAAGCTGTTCTGGGGCTTGCAGCCTCAGAGTGCAGTGTCTTCCCAGACTCCATTGAAGACATTTATCCATGCAGCAAGCTCCAGGAGGGCCTGATAATGCTGACCAATAAAGATCCCGGCACTTATGTAGTGCAGCCTGTCTACAGATTGCCTTCAGACATTGACATCGCGCGCTTTAAAGCCGCTTGGAAAGCAGTAGTCGCTGCCGAATCCGTCCTCCGCACACGTATCGTTTACTCCGAGAAGTATGGGTTTCTTCAGGTTGTTTTGCGGGAGGAGCTTTCCTGGCATTCCCTTTCTGGAGTACAGGACATCAACGAAAGTACCAGAAGACTTCCTGCGAAAAATGGGGCGCCACTCATCACTCTTACTCTTGTAGGAGAGAACACCACCCAGCCCATGTTCGTCTGGACAGTTCACCATGCCATCTACGACGGTTGGAGCTGGACAAACCTGTTTCGCAAAGTGGAAATGCACTACCATAACGATGTGCAAGACATGCCTGCTACGGTTCCTTACTCACGCTTCGTCAAGTATCTTTGCTCCTTGGACCAGAAAGAGTCCGATGCGTTCTGGACGTCGCAACTTGACAACGTAGCGATTACTCAATTCCCTCAATTGCCTTCTCCTGATTACCACGTTGAGACGAACAGCCAGCTACTCCATTATGTCCAGTTGAAGCGAAATGCGGAGCTGGAAGTCACAGTACCCTCTATAATTCGAGCAGCTTGGGGCCTTCTCCTCGCGACATATTCAGGTTCAGATGATGTGGTATGGATGGAAACGAACAGTGGTCGGGAGGCTGTCGTTCCTGGCATTGAGGCTATAATTGGCCCCACCATCACAACTGCACCTGCTCGATTACGGCTTAATCGTGCTCTGACAGTTCACGAATATCTCAAAGAAACACAGAAACAGTCATCTTTGTCTCTGCCTTACCAATTCGCCGGTCTACAACATATCCGCAGACTCAATTCAGAGACGGCGGCAGCCTGCGAGGCCCAGAGCTTCTTAGGTATCGAGGCAGCTGATGATATTGATTCGCATAGCCCGCTTTGGCAGATGGAGAGTAGTAACACCGTTGGTACCAACTTCCTGAACTACGCCTTTACCTTTAATTGCAAAGTGGACTCAACCGGTGTCCGCGTTGAAGCATTATTCGATGATCGCGTTGTCGAAAAGTGGCTCGTCGAGCGTATCACTCAGCAATTTGAGTTCCTGCTCTGTCAACTGAATGCAAACATCAATATGGACAAGAAGTTGGAAGATGTCGAGTTGCTCAACCCCGCTGACCGAGACGTGATCAGTGCATGGAACAGCCAGCCTGTACCGACCATCCCCAGATGCATTCACGATGTCATCCAGGAAGACCAGTCCGCACGAAGGCTCACAGCGCCTGCTATCGACGCTTGGGATACTGGTGTCATGAGTTACCAGGAGCTTAATGAACGCGCTACAGCACTTGCGTACCGACTAACAGCCTTGGGTGTGAAGCCTAGACAATTCGTGCCGCTTTGTTTTGACAAGTCAGGCTGGACGATCGTTGCTATGCTTGCTGTTCTCAAGGCAGGCGCTGCTTTCGTCCCTCTAGACTTCGAAGCTCCTGTCCTCAGACTTCGTGAGATAGTAGGTGATGTAGGCGCAGAATTACTTCTTTGCGCGCCGCAGTACGAAGAGCTTTGTGAATCGATTCCCTGCAGAGCCCAAGTGGTGGATCGAGAGTCAACCATCTACAACAAGCCACGTCTCCCATGTCTTCCTTCGGTTGATTTTAATGATCCAGCATACGCATTCTACACTTCTGGGTCGACTGGAAAGCCAAAAGGGGCTGTGGTCAATCATGTGCATTGGGTCACAAGCTCCACTGCCTTCGCTCCAGGCTGGAAGATTTCCGAGACCTCCAGGATTCTCCAATTCGCTTCCTACACCTTTGATGCCTGCCTGATTGAAATCTTCACTAATCTCATGAATGGCGGTACCATATGTGTTCCAGATCAGGCCGCTCGAACGAACGATCTTGTGGGAGCTATCAACCAATTCAATGTGAACTGGGCTGCCCTAACTCCTTCAGTCATCCGTACAATGACCCCATCGCAAGTTCCACATCTTAAAACATTATTCTTGGTTGGAGAGGCCATGTCTCAACAGGATCTCACGACATGGGCGGACAAAGTCACACTCGGCAACGGCTATGGTCCAACTGAATGCGCTTGTGTAGCTACCTGTAATATTATGACGCCCAGCACACGACCAAATAATCTGGGTGATGTTGTCACAGCCAGAGGATGGATTGTTTTGCGCAACAATCACCACATACTTGCACCTGTTGGAGCTGTTGGCGAGTTGCTGCTAGAGGGAGGTGCAGTTGGTGCAGGATACCTTAACAACCCGGAAAAGACAGCAGAGGCATTCCTCACAGCGGTACACTGGTCAACAGATTTGCTTGGCGCAAATGAAAGCAAACCCCTACGCATCTACAAGACTGGAGACTTGGTGAAGTACAATGAAGACGGTACAATGCTGTACCTCGGTCGCAAAGACTTCCAGGCTAAGGTTCGGGGCCAACGATTGGAATTATCCGAAGTCGAACATAAGCTCCTTGACGACCGTATGGTGCAAAGCGCTCTCGCCTCTGTTCCTACCAAGGGCCCCTGTGCCAAACGGCTAGTCGCAATACTCTCACTGCAGAACATGCCGGCCGCCGCATTGGGCACTGCAAGCCCACTGCAGATCATATCTCAAGAGATTGCTTCAAAAAATGTTGCCAGTATCAGGGACAGCCTTTGTGAACGCTTACCAACGTACATGATCCCATCTTTGTGGGTTGCTATCAATCGCTTCCCTTTGATGCCATCTGGAAAGCTAGATCGAAGATGCGCGGCGCAATGGTTGGAGCAAATGGACCAGGCTACCTATCGAATGATTTCGACAATAGGTGCAGAAGCCCCTGATACGAATAGTGGATCTTCGATTGAGCACAAGTTACAAGAGATCTTCGCCAAAGCACTGAACCTGCCTGCTAGCGATATTCGGCTGAACCAGTCCTTCTTACATCTCGGCGGCGATTCGATTGCGGCTATGCTAGTTTCATCACAATGTCGCACACAGGGCCTCCCAATCAGCGTAAAAGACATTATTCGTGCAAAATCAATCACAGCCTTGGCTTCTGCAGTTGACCTTTCTAAAAATTCTGAGCCTGCCCCTGAAGTTACGGAATACTCTTTGCCTTTTGGTCTTTCGCCGATTCAAAAGGTGTTCTTCGAAACTGTTGGCGACTCATACAATCACTTCAATCAGGCCGAGACATTGCGCCTTTCTCGAAACACCGAGGAGAGTGAACTTCGAACTGCCCTTGTGGCCCTGGTCAAAATTCATCCCATGCTCCGAGGACGCTTCACCAGGAATGAAGTCGGAATCTGGAAGCAGCGCATTGAACAAGATGTTGAGAATTCATTCAGGCTACAGCACCATCGCGTCCAGGAAATGAGTGATCCGGAGCTACAGCGCGCGTTCGACGATAGTCAGGCGAGCTTGAACGTCACCAGTGGCCCAACTTTCGCAGTTGATCTATTCGAAATCGAGGATGACTTCTCCCAAGTGCTAACACTAGTTGCTCATCACCTCGTTATTGATATCGTTTCGTGGGGTGTTGTTCTCGAAGATCTCCAGGCGTTGTTAAATGGAGTGCAGCCTTCTCCTCAGAGTCTGCCTTATCATGCATGGTTGCAACAGCAATTTCTGCAAGTCAAACAAGAGAATCCTAGGAACTTCTTCCCCACCGTGGAAATTCCGCCTGCCAAATTTGATTACTGGGGTATGGAAGGACGACCTAATCTCAATGGTGATTTGATTAGTGCAGACATAGGGCTGTCCACCCGTGACACAATGCTGCTTCTTGGCGCACAGGATGCTCTAGCAACGGAGATTGTCGATATCCTGGTTGCCGGGCTTCTAGAATCTTTCCATAAAACATTTCCAGATCGGTCTCCCGTTGCGATACATAACGAAGGTCATGGCAGAGAAACATTCAATTCTCATCAGGATCTATCTCGGACAATTGGCTGGTTCTCCACCGCGACTCCAATTTATCTACCTATATCTGCAGATGAGAAGACAGATATCATCAGCACAATCCAATGGGTTAGGGATTTTAGACTCAGAACTCCGGACAAAGGACGACCGTATTTTGCCTACAGAAATTTGACTGAAGAAGGCCGGAAACGATTTGATGGCCACTGGCCAGCTGAGGTTTTGTTTAACTATGTCGGAAGGCTTCAACACCAAGATCGTAAAGATGGCATGTTCACTAGTCTTACCAGCCTGAAATCTAAAGAGATTGGAGACGAAATCCCTCGTCTTGCTCTTTTCGAAGTCACTGCTGCAATCTCCAAAGGAGCCATCAACATATCCTTTGATTGGAACCGGAACATGTAAGTTCGCTTGAAGGATTTAAATATCTTTTTGTTCATATCAAGCCTTCTTAACTTATAAATTTTGATGTACTGACATGTTGGATTTGTCTAGGAATCGGCAACAAGAGATCCGCGAATGGGTTGGACAATGTCGGCAGACGCTTGTTGATGCCATCGATGAACTATTACAAGTTCGACAAGAGCAGAGCCTCAGGAACTTCCGAAGTTTGCCGCTGCTCTACAATGGTCTCTATAGGGTTATAAAGGCCCTTCCTGCGGGCTTGAATCTTGTCGACATTGAAGATATCTACCCTGCCTCTCCTATGCAACAAGGACTGCTCTTCACGCAATCTCGAAATCCTGACCTATACACGTATCAAACAACATGCCAGGTCAAATCAACTGACAATATTCCGGTCGACCCTCTTCGACTTGCCGAAGCATGGCAGGTGGTAGTTCACCGCCACCAAGCCTTGCGTACCATCTTCATCGACAGCCTTGCCAAAGACGGCTCCAAAGACCAAATTGTTGTCAAAAACAAGGCCGGAAGAGTCCAGTTGTTTGCGGATTGCGATGACCGACGCATTGCAGAGATGCTACGTGGTCTAGCTCCAATCGATTGTCGTGAACTTACCCCTCCACACAAAATGACTATCGCAAAAACGAAGTCCGGCAAAGTATGGATGAAGCTTGAAATCAGTCACGCGATCAACGACGGTACTTCTGTTTCGAACATGCTTGTTGACCTCGCTCGTGCGTACGCGAGGAAGCTCTCGCGAGCAGACATCGGACCCCTTTACTCCGATTACATCGAGCATGTTCTGTCGATGCCGAGAGATGCTGATCTGGCTTACTGGAAGACATACCTTTCGGGAATTGAACCTTGCTTCTTCCCGACTCTCAACGATGGGAAGCCACTTGCGCGTGAACCTGCTTCAGTCGTTGTTGATATACGTCACATCGATACTGTGCAAGCATTCTGCAAGCGAAATGGGGTAACTCTTTCCAACCTTCTTCAACTTACTTGGGCTTTGACTTTACACTGTAAGTACATTTGCGGTTCCAATATCAACTTTCGGTTCTCTGCTAACTGCTATCTTCTTTCAGACTACGTCGGCGCCTTTGATGTTTCCTTTGGCATAGTAGCATCGGGTCGGGACATACCTGTTACCAACATTGAGTCTGCTGTAGGGTGCTTCATTACCATGCTTTGCGGTCGTCTGGTATTCTCAGACGACACAACTATTGCCGAACTTCTCGACTCGCTTCAAATAAGCTCCACAGATGCTCTATCTCACCAAAATTGCTCTCTTGCCGATGTTCAGCATGAGATGCAATTACCCGCACTCTTCAACACCGCTTTCACATTTCAGCGCCGCAGTCTCTCACGCGACCCTGATCAGATAGCGCTCCTCTACGAGGACATGGAAGCGGACGATTCCGGGGAGTATATTGTCACTGTCAATGCGGATGTCATGGATGACAGTATCACTATCGATTTTGGGTATTCACAAGACAAGATCATTCCTACCCAAGCTCAGAATATGGCGGATACATACGAGAAGATCTTGAATATCATTGTGGGCAATGTGGCCAGCGAACTCACGGTTGGGGGTGTGGATGTATCTACCGAAGGCAGCCTTCGCCAGATTCTGGGTTGGAATGCAGGGCTCCCTCCTCCTATCAACAGGTGTATACACAAGGTCATCCATGATCAAGCTCTAACGAGGCCACGCATGACAAAGGCAGTCGAGGGATGGGATGGCTCGTTCACCTACCAGGAGTTTGACAGAGTCACCGATCAGTTGGCGGCTTATCTTCAGTCTATTGGTATCAAGACCGAGACTTTTGTTCCCATATTGTTCGAGAAGTCATTATGGGCAATTGTCAGCATGATAGCTATCATGAAAGCAGGGGGCGCGTATGTTCCTCTTGACCCCAAACACCCGCAGACGCGTCTTCGCGAACTCATAACAGATGTCGGAGCCGAGGTTGTCTTATGCTCCCGTAAGTATCAAGCAACTGCATCGGAGGTGGCCAAGACACCCTTAGTAGTTGACCAGCGCTCGATCCGAAAGCTAGCAACGCCTGCTTCTAGCGCACTTCTTGCAGCAGCAACTCCTGAAAATGCAGCGTACTGCCTATTTACGTCTGGCACCACGGGAAAGCCGAAGGGGACAATTATCTCTCATCGAGCATTTTGCACAAGCGCAGCTGCCTTCACGCGTCGCATGAACATTAATGCTACGTCGCGCACTTTCCAGTTCGCCTCTTACACATTTGATGCCAGCTGCATAGAAATCCTGTCTGCGTTGACAGTGGGCGCGACAGTTTGTGTACCATCGGAAGATGATAGGATGAATAACTTGGCCGGTGCGATTCGCAAGTTGAAGGCCAATTGGTCGTTGCTTACTCCTTCTGTCCTTGGTACTGTTGAGCCAGAGCGCGTTCCCTGTTTAAAGACTCTCGTGTCCGGCGGCGAAGCACTCCCTGGGCATATCCTCAAGAAATGGGGCTCCAGCACATGCTTTATCAATGGTAAATGTCCCAATAGTTTTTGTTAAGAATTATCAGCTAACACCAAGTGTAGCATACGGACCAACGGAATGTGCCGTTGTAGCAGCTACTGCGTACAAATCCACGCTCGACCACAAACTGATCGTATCTGAACCTGGGACTATCGGTACTGGAAGCGGATGTCGTTTGTGGATCGTTCACCCACGAAATCATGACAAACTTATGCCGGTAGGCACCGTGGGTGAATTGGTCATTGAAGGACCGACTGTTGCTCGCGGGTACTTGAATGAGGAAGAAAAGACAAGAAAAGCATTCATCACTAATCCTTTGTGGACGGCAACAATCGCTGCGCAATATAGCACATTCGAGACTGTTCGCATGTACAAGACTGGCGACTTGGTTCGCTACAACAGTGATGGTTCTGTGAGTTATGTCGGACGCAAAGACACGCAAATCAAGCTCAACGGACAACGTGTTGAGCTGGGTGAAATCGAGTACCACGTAGGCCAGAACCTCCCGGAGAACGTACAATCAGCCGTCGAACTGATTGCACCATCGACCCGGAGCTCAGCGAAAGCGTTGGCAGTATTCTTCTCAGTTGTACATCCTCCTCTGATCGAGGGAGAACAAGATGTACAGCATGCAACGGCTGATGATGTAGGTTCTGAAGAACTACTTCTTCCTTTAGACGACCAACTGCGAGACATCTGCAAGAATGCAGAAAATGGCCTCGCAGGCTCTCTACCGACATACATGATCCCTTCTATCTTCATACCGGTCAAAAAGATGCCATGGACATCGGCTGGAAAATTGGATCGAAACCGTCTACGAGGGTCTGTACAAGATCTTAGCCGTGAAGCGCTAGCCATGTACCGTCTCAGCAGCATGGCAAACAAGAAACAACCTACCACAGATGCGGAGAAGAAGATCCACAAGGCGGTTTGTGTGGTTCTGAATCTGCCTGCTTCCTCGGTCAGTATCGATGATAGCTTTGTCCGTCTCGGTGGTGACTCAATCTCATCCATGCGCCTCATTGCGATGGTGCAGACTGAACAACTGGAACTATCTTTCATCGATATCTTCAAATCACCCAAGCTCGCCGATCTGGCCAAAGTTGCCTCGCACACCAGCACTGCTAGCCAGCATGAGAAATCTTTACAGCCATTTCAGCTTCTTCGAGACCCTTTCAAGACACCAGATGTCCTTGCTCATCTTATGGAGCAATGCCAGATGCCCAGCGCAGATTTACAGGACGTGTATCCAACAAGTCCACTTCAAGATGCACTCATCACGCTCACCATCAAGCAGCCGGGGGCATATGTCGCGCAGCATGTCCTCGCGCTTCCACAGTCCATGGATGTGGCCAAGTTTAGATCAGCGTGGGAAAAGGCTATCGGAGATATCGATATCCTACGCACTCGTATCATCCAACTTTCATCTGGTGCATTTATGCAGGTTGTGCTTAAGGAGGACCGAATTGACTGGAATGAAACAGGTTCCCTTCAGGATGTTCAAGCGGAAGTGCTAAGAATCCCCTCACACCATGGCGGCCGCCTTGCGACTTATACAATCGTCACCACCGAATCCAATCAGCGGTACTTTGTATGGACAATGCATCACGCTCTTTATGATGGCTGGAGTATCTACTTGATGCTGCAGCGCGTCCAGCAAATCTACATGAAAGGCGCATCGAACATGTTGCAAACCCCTTACGCTCGATTCATCCAATACCTGTCCAACAGAGATCACAGTGTTTCAAAAGAGTATTGGAGAACAAACCTGGACCAGGTCGACGCATACCAGTTTCCCAGATCTTCGCAGGTCAGCACAAAGGACAAACCGAGTGGACAAACACTTCATCATCAGATGAAACTAGCCCCCCACAAGCATGTCGATGTTACACCCACGAATGTCATTCGAGCGGCCTGGGCTATAGTACTTGCGGCCTACACACACAGTAATGACGTAGTGTTTGGAGAGACCCTCACCGGACGCGATGTTGCCGTCAATGGCATCATGGACGCATGTGGGCCTGTCTTGACGACTGTTCCAACAAGAGTGAAGATCGATAGCGGATCAACCATTCGTGAGCTTCTTCAAGCGATAGCATCCAATGCTACCGAGCGTATACCGCATCAGCACTATGGCATATCTGCCATTAAGGCGATTGGCAACGAAGCAGCAGCTGCCTGCGATTTCCAGAATCTTTTGGTAGTTCAAACGGAAAATGAGGTACTTGAAAACTCGATGTGGTCAATTCACGACAACGGCAACCAAGGCAATTTCTTCACGTACCCTCTGGTCATCGAATGCAAGATCAGATCTTCCAGCACTGATGTTCTTATGCATTTTGATGCGGACGTCATCTCCCCTTGGCATGTTCAGCGACTCGCTTATCAGTTCGAGTCTGTATTGAATCAACTCCAAAACGCGACGCGCATCAGCCAAATCAGTGTCTTCAGCGACCAGGACAAGCAGCTCGTTCGTAAATGGAACAGTGGTGAGCCCCTATTAGTTGATGAAACTATACCAGCTGTATTCCAAAAGAACGCGACTGCTCAACCCGACGCAGTTGCAGTTGCAGCGTTCGATGGTGAACTTACGTACGCTGAGCTCGCTAGCTACGCGACGAATTTGGCACAGGAACTCCTCGATCTCGGTGCCGGTCCTGAAACACTCATCTTGATATGTTTGGATAAATCACTCTGGACTATTGTTGCGATCATGGGTATCATTCTGGCTGGTGCTGCCTACGTACCATTGTCGCCAGAACACCCTCCCTCCCGACATGAGCAGATTATTGAGACATGCAAGTCTTCTATCATACTTTGCTCACCATCATACAAGTCTCGATTCGAAGCCTTGGTGGAGCACGTTCGGACTGTTACAGGAGATTCCATACGAAAACTTCCAGCACCCGAAGCGCCGCTGCCCCAGAAGATCAGAAGCAATAATGCTTGCTATGTTCTCTTTACCTCTGGAAGCACCGGAATCCCGAAAGGTGCTGTCATAGAGCATAGAAATGTCACATCAAACGCCATTGCGATCAGTGAGGCTGCCCATATGACTCCTACATCGAGGGTGATTCAGTTCAGTACATTAGTTTTCGACGCTTCTGTTCTTGAGATCATCATACCTCTTCTTCTTAGAGCCACTGTTTGTGTGCCCTCTGAGGAGCAACGCACTACCGATCTGGCTTCAGCGCTGACTTCGTTGAAAGCCGATTGGGCTTTCATGACCCCATCGGTCGCCAGCACGCTTGACGGGCCCCAGTCGGTTCCTACTCTGAAAACGCTATCTGTTGGAGGCGAAGCAATTACTACCGAAGTAATCAACAAATGGGCGTCTGGAGTCAAGTTAGTGAATGGCTATGGACCGACAGAGTGTTGCATCTTCGCCGTCATGAATGATAAGGTTCGGGAGCAACGCTCCCTCTCCAACATTGGGAATTTGCTTAAAACTGGGCGTGGTTGGCTGACCCATCCCAACAACCCTCATCAACTTGCACCTGTTGGAGCGACGGCCGAGCTGTGCCTCGAAGGATCAAATGTGGGACGAGAGTACTTGAACGACCCCAAACGAAGCGCGGAAACTTTTGTCGAAAACCCAGATTTTCTCAAGGACTTCTCTAGGTCTGCTGGGAACCGCATATATCGTACTGGAGATCTTGTTTCCTATGATACTGATGGTTCTATCAAGTACATGGGACGAAAGGACAACCAGATCAAACTTGCTGGGCAGCGTATGGAGCTTGGTGAAGTTGAACATAACCTGCAACGAGATGACAGTATTCGCCAGCTAGTCGTACAACTTCCCAAGGCTGGTCCATGCGCCAAGAAGCTTACTGCTGTTGTCAGCTTCTCGGCCGGTATGGCGGCACATGCGAACACTCAGTGGAATACGCCTCTTTCTGATCCAGAATCTCTTTCGCTGCTGAATCACTCACGAGAGAGGCTGATGGAAAGAGTTCCGCCATACATGGTCCCCATCGTCTGGATAGCAGTTCCTCGCATTCCATCTCTCGTGTCTACTAAATTTGACAAAAAGCAGGTCGCTTCCTGGTTGGAGGGTCTTGATGATTCTACATATGAGAAGATCATGCAGACTGAATACGCTGGGGATGCAGGAGAAGAGATAAGCGATGCTTTTGTCATGCTCCGTGGAATATGGGCGAAGGCCCTGAACATTCCGATTGACAGGGTCAAGCCCAACCGATCCTGGCTTTGTAAGTGCTCTGGACTTGGAACTCATATATTTTGTATTGCTAACCAAGGCTAGCATTGGGTGGTGATTCTATTGCTGCCATGAAGATGCTTGCAAGGTGCAGAAGTGAAGGCATCCATCTCACTTTGAACCAGGTGCTTCGTGCCAAGTCACTTGCTCATCTGGCAGAGAGCGTGAAGTTTACGGCCACAATGACCCATGGCGAAGAACGACTCGATGAGCCTTTTCAACTGGGACCTATCCAGCGCTTTTATTTCCAAAATGAAGGAGCAGAGCAAAACACGCACTTCAATCAGTCATCTACATTGCGTATCACTTCGCGCGTGGAGCTCCCTGCTGTCAAGCGAGCCCTTGATGCCATCGTTGCATGCCACGGCATGCTTCGAGCTCGTTACTCAAAGAATACGGCAGGAGAATGGCAACAGCTTGTCAAGCCCGTAGCAAACTCTTACTTGTTTGAGGCCCACGACATCTCAACTGTGTCTTCGGCTATCCCTGTCGTAGCTAATACGCAGAAGAGCCTTGACATCCGACGAGGCCCGGTTTTCGCTGCAAATCTTTTCGACATCAAGGGTGAACAGATCATTTTCATGGCAGCGCATCACCTGGTAGTCGATCTCGTGAGTTGGGGCATGATCATACAAGACCTAGACGATCTTTTGGGATCGACTGGCTCAACGCCAACGCTACAAAAAGGTCTATCATTCCAAGCTTGGTGTGAGAAACAGAGCGTACACACATTGGACATGCTTCAGCAATCATCTATTCAAAGGCAGCCTCTTGTCGTACAACCAGCAAATCTCTCGTTCTGGGGTATGGACACAAGATCCAATCTGTATGGGGATGTCGAAAGAGACGATTTTACCATCAGCAAAGAGATCACCGCTATGGCAACAGGTCATCATCATGTGTACAAAACAGACCTTGTGGACATCTTCCTTGCGGCCGTTATACATTCTTTCTCACGTGTTTTCATTAATCGCAAGGTCCCGACAGTCTTCAACGAGTCTCATGGACGCCAAGTATGGGAATCAAGCAACATAGACCTTTCCCGGACTGTTGGATGGTTTACAACGATGCACCCAGTTACTGTTCCTATTGATGATGATGAGGACGAAGTTCTTCATACTCTTCGACAAGTCAAGGATACGCGCGGAAAGATTCTGGATAGTGGAAGGCCTTACTTTGCACATCGTTTCCTTACTGAGCACGGAAAGCAACAATTTGCAGACCACGCACCGGTAGAAGTCCTTTTCAACTATCTTGGTTACCAAGGAAGTTCTGGCGATGGAAAATCTTTGCTACAACCTACGAGTATTGATAGCGATGACGGAGAAGAGACTGCCGACGTTGGCAGGAAAACCTCTCGCGTGGCATTGTTCGAAATATCTGCAATCGTGACTAATGATCAGATCCAGTTCAGCTTCATGTACAATCGCTGTTCGAAGAATCAAAAGGGTATTCGCAGGTGGATTGCCGAATGCCAACGCACTCTGGAGGAGATTGCCTCTGAGCTAGCCAAGCTGAACAAGCCTCAACCTACAATAACAGATCTTCCTCTTTTGCCCTTGGAGTCTTACAATCGCCTTGATAGGGTACTCAAAACACTCCCCGATGTCGGTATCTCGTCGTTCGATCACGTGGAGAACATATATCCTTGTTCACCAATTCAAGACGGAATGATTCTCAGTCAAATTAGAGCTCCTGAGTCGTACTGGTCTTCAACAGTTTTTGAAGTCAAGGCACGACGTGGACCAGTCGATGCCAAGAAGATCGTTGATGGATGGAGACAGGTCGTCGCTCGCCATCCAGCTTTACGCACTGTTTTCATCGATAGCGTTTGCAAGGGCGGCGTGTTCGATCAGATTGTGCTCAAGAATCCAGACTCTGGAGTTGTCACTTGTACATGCAGTGACGCAGAGTTGTCCGCGATGCTGCAGTCCATTAAGCACAGTTCACTCAACGGCAAGAAGAAACCGGTCCTCCCGCACCAAGCCGCTGTTATTCAGACTACATCTGGAAGGGTCATTATCAAACTCATCGTCAACCATTCGGTGATTGATGGAGGATCTCTTGCAGTCATCGAAAATGACCTTCAGGAAGCATACGAAGGGCGCCTGACCGGGGAAGGTCCACTTTACAGCGACTACATTAAATACCTTCGGGAACTCTCTGCAGATGATGCCATCGAATACTGGAAAGCAAAACTTCGTGGTGTTAGTCCCTGCCATTTCCCCACTGCGACTCGAGACACAAGTAAACCACGACAATTAAAATCCTTTGATATGCGTTTCAGCCGCTTTGGAGAGCTCCATGGTCTTGCGGAAGCCAGTAACGTCACATTTGCCAACTTGTTCTTGACAGCCTGGGCACTGGTGCTTCGTTCTTACACCAACTCCCCCGACGTTTGTTATGGCTACCTCACTTCTGGAAGGGATGTGCCCGTTCCAAACGTAGAAAGCGCCGTCGGAGCATTCCTGAACATGCTGGTATCGCGCGTCGAAATGAACCAGTCTTCTCAGTTTCTTCAAGTCACGCAAAAGGTGCAGTCAGACTTCATTGACTCGACTCCGCATCAGCACTGCTCCCTCGCGCAGTTTCAACACGACTTGGGGCTATCTGGAAAGGCTCTCTTCAACACTGCCGTCTCGATCCAAAAACGCAGTGGCCTAGATGATGAAACGTCACATACAAGTATTGAGTTCGAGCAACTGGACGGCCATGATCCTAGCGAGTTCGCCATCACAGTGAATATCGACGCAACGCGGCACGACGAAGGTGTACGCTTCACTTACTGGAGTGATGCTATTACGGGTGCGGAGGTCAAGAAAGTATCCTCTCTCATGTCCACAATCTTGGTGCAAGCTCTACGTGACTCCAAGCAAACAATCGGAGAGCTGGACGCTGTCCTGAATGGAAAGCCGGCGCATGCAAGCATAGCACACTTGGCACCGCCACCGTTACATCCATCAATTCTTCGATCCGGGACAAGCACTTCCAGCGCGTCAGCGATCTCTCCACCGCAAACACCCCAAATCACCTTCCCAGATATCTCTGCAGCGGTTCCTGCAACAGCTGGCACACCGGATTGGACGAATCTCATTCGGTCTATTGTCAGCGAGATGGTTCCTCAGATCGTCAATCAAATTGTGGCTCAAAACAAGTTGCCGGCAGAAACTACGTCGTCGACTATCGATCAAATGACCACTCAAATGACGGGTATGCTTAGTAGGAAAGCATCTACATCACACCGTGTTCGCGCGAGCCTTGACGGGCCCATGGTTCCCGCGGGTTCCATACAAGCCGAATCTATCCGTTCACGTCGTCTGAGTCTCGTCAGTAACGCTGAGAGCAGAATACAGACGGCCGCTGACATGGTGGCTACCCTAGGCGCCTATGCCACAGAGGCTTCGCCCAAGGTGGCCCCTGATTTTGTAGAGAAGAAGCTTCTCAACTTGTGGAGTGAGCTGCTGGAAATGGTTGAAGAGTCGATCGAACAAGATGCCAGCTTTTTCCAGCTAGGAGGCGATAGCATCATTGCTATGCGTCTGGTTGGTGCCGCAAGAGAAGAGGGGCTGTCAATGACTGTTGCAGATGTGTTCAAGAACCCTACTTTTGCGGACATGGCTCGCGTGGTACGTGTCGCAGGTGAAGTCATTGACGAAGTCATGTCACGAGCGGGCGGCGAATCAGTGGTGGGTGATGGGGATGTTGAAGATCAATCGAAGCATCGACGTCACGGATCCCGTGGGCGGGCAGCGTCTATCTGGAGCGACATGCACTCCATTGCATCCGAGCTCAGGAGTGACATGCAAGGCTTAACCCTCAATGAGCCGCCACTTATTGATGAACCAGAAGTTACAAAGAACGACACAATGTTCAACAGATGGCAAGGCTTCTCAGCCCCCGCTCAAGAACGACCGTCTACGCCACGCAAAGTCACGTACAAGACGTCGCCAATACCACAAACCGTTCATGAAGGGGTAGAGAGCTCGAACATCAAGTCTGTCTCTCTCCTTGGCGACCCGAATGTTGATAACGTCATCTCAAAGGTGCAGGTTTTCAAGGGTGGTATCTCGGATATCTTTCCTGTGACAGATTTCCAAGCTCTTGCTATTACTGGATCAATCATGGAGTCCAAATGGATGCTCAATTATTTCTACCTCGATGGACGAGGACCACTGGACCTCCGGAAGCTCAAACAAGCTGCTTATCGCATGGTACAAGCCTTTGACATCTTGCGCACCGTATTTGTTCCTTACGGCGATCGCTTCCTCCAAGTCGTTCTACGTAAACTTCAACCAGAATTTATGTACGAGCAGACTGACGACGATTTTGATACCTTCACCAGAGGCTTGCAGCAAAGGGATCGTGAGATGGGCCCTCGCGTTGGCGAAGCCTTTATTCAGTTTGTGGTCGCGAAGCAAAAGCAAACTGGATCTCACCGTATCTTCATGAGGTTGTCGCATGCCCAGTACGATGGCGTATGCATGTCAAAAATCCTTCTTGCACTCCAGGATGGTTACAATGGCCTTCCTGTCTCATCTGCTCCAAGTTTCGGCAACTTTGTTCGAGAAACGGCAAAGACAGTGAGTGGAGCCCACGAACATTGGAGAGAAGTACTTCGTGGATCCAAGATGACCGAGATTGTTAACCGCTTTGGTCCAAATTACCAACGTGCGGCTGGTCGCTCAATCACTCTAGAAAGAAAAGTCGACTCACCCTCGCTTAAGCGTTTCGACATCACCAGTGCCACTGTTGCCAAGGCAGCTTGGACATCGACTCTTGCACGTATCGCCAGCAAATCTGACGTCGTGTTTGGGCACGTCATCTCTGGTCGCAACGGAAGCGTTCCAAACATTGAGAATATCATCGGTCCTTGCTTGAACATGGTTCCCGTACGTGTTATGTACCGACCTGACTGGACTGTCCTCGATCTGCTTCGAAACATACAAGACCAGCAGATATCTAACATGCCGTACGAGGCACTTGGTTTCCGCGAGATTACTCGCCACTGCACAGATTGGCCAGACTGGACCAACTTTTCAAGCATCCTGCAACACGACCAGGGTACCCAGGTCAATCACCAAAGCATGCAACTAGGAGGCGTAGAGTACACTGTCGGCGCCCTCGGATCGCAAGAGGACTTTGCAGATCTTTCCATACACACGATCTCGCGCACCAACAATGAGATGGAAGTCCGCCTAACATACGCTCCAAATAGCACCATTACCGCGGATTTCGCACAACATGTTTTTGAGATGCTTTGTGCCAACATTATCGCCTTCTCTCACAGCCCTCGCGATGTACTACCATCGCCTTCCGAATTCAGCTCTCAAAGCCCAACAACCATCAATCCGGAGAAGATGCGCAAGAGATCTGCAGAAAAACAGCCCATCTCACTTCCAACCGACACTGGTCTCAATCTCCAAGAGACAAACAACGTCGCCGAAATACTACGGGCGGCATGGGAACAGATTCTCCACGATGAGAACGGTCTACCCGCCCCCGTCGAGCTAAACTCCGATTTCTTCCAACTCGGCGGCGACATCATGGGCCTAGCGCAAGTCGCCTCCATACTCGACCAAGACGGTCTCAAGGTGCGCGTCGAGGATCTGCTCGATAATTCCGTCTTCTTCGATCAAGTAGGTATTGTGGCTGCGGAGCGAAAGAAGCAGATCGATCGTGATGCGCAGAATCCTTGGGGCGATAAGGGTAGGCTGAGGGTCGAGGAGAGGACCAAGGAACGTAGGGGTAGTGCGTTGGGGACGCTGGCGAAGAGGTTTGGGTTTAGTAGGAAGGAGAGTTCAAAAGAATTTCCCAAGGCGCCATGAGAGGCTTTGATGTGTAGTTGGTTACAGTTTGGTTGATTTGATATGGATTTATTGTTGTCTATTGTAGTTGGTTGGATTATTGGTGTTATCTGTTTTTGCTTTGGTTTCTTGTCTTACGATGTCTTTCTTTTTTCTCTCTCGGGGTTTGGATCTGACTGGCGTTTATTGAATTTTCCGGTGTGGGATAAAGGATGGGAGTTTTGGCTGCTATTTTCTTCTTTCTGTTGCAGTATTAATTCAACTGTTCAAGACATATTCCTGCTTCCATCTTGGGAAGATACAGTGACTAGCCAAAAGTTCGCGACTCATTAGTGTATCCTGCCAAGGCCCACATATTCACTTTGAGGTTTCTCGAAAGACACGTTTTTCAAAAGAGTTCGCATTCTTACTTCAACTATCATTTCTTCACTCTACTCTATCCATGAGCGACTAATTACACTGAACCATTCCTGGAAGCCCAACGTTGTGGTGTTAGATACTTGCAGGCCTTCCAAGACAATATATTTAGTCAACCTTAAGCTTCTGGGGCTCACGCTTGTCGACCTTGAGCTTCTGGGGCTCGCGCTTGTCAACCTTGAGCTTCTGGGGCTCGCGCTTGTCGACCTTGAGCTTCTGGGGTTCGGGCTCGCGCTTATCGAGAGTAAGCTTTGGGGTCTCTGGCTCACGCTTGTCAACCTTGAGCTTCTGGGGCTCTGGCTCGCGCTTGTCAACCTTAAGCTTCTGAGGCTCACGCTTATCGACCTTGAGCTTCTGGGGCTCACGCTTGTCGACCTTGAGCTTCTGGGGCTCGCGCTTGTCGACCTTGAGCTTCTGAGGCTCACGCTTATCGACCTTGAGCTTCTGGGGTTCAGGGTCGCGCTTATCGACCTTGAGCTTCTGGGGCTCACGCTTGTCGACCTTGAGCTTCTGGGGCTCACGCTTGTCGACCTTGAGCTTCTGGGGCTCGCGCTTATCGACCTTGAGCTTCTGGGGCTCGCGCTTGTCAACCTTGAGCTTCTGGGGCTCGCGCTTGTCGACCTTGAGCTTCTGAGGCTCACGCTTATCGACCTTGAGCTTCTGGGGTTCAGGGTCGCGCTTATCGACCTTGAGCTTCTGGGGCTCACGCTTGTCGACCTTGAGCTTCTGGGGCTCGCGCTTGTCGACCTTAAGTTTCTGGGGTTCCGCATTGCGGCCCATGAGGCCCTCAAGACCCTCAACTGGCGCGGGAGCATTGCCGGCTGTTTTCTTGTGTTAGAATGGATTGGTTCTTTTTATAGTGCTCTGCTCAAAACCATAGCTTACCTGCGCTGATAGGGAAGGAGGCGGCCGAAGTGGCCATGAGGGCCACGGTCACAAGGTTGGAAAATCTCATTGTTGTGGTAGTCGAGGTTTCTTTGCTAAGACTGATGTTTGTCGATGGATGTAAAATTGACTTTTGTTGCTGAATGTGAGGTCGCGAACCCAATGATGGTGATGATGATATTATTCAAACAGCTGGGTGGTGATGCCTTATATATCTCGCTGGCATCTCCATGGCCGTCAAGACACCAAGAGCCTGTTGAATGTGTTGATGGCACGACATCGTCATCCAGGTAGCGTATGGCGGAGGTGTGCGCCTGGCCGTGTGCAACATGCGGAGGAGGATGAGGCTGTTGTCGGAATGCGGAGACATTGGTGGAATGGCTTCCGAAAGTTGGGCCAGGCCGGGATATCTCCTCCGGTCTTGGCACCTTTGTTCGGTGCCGTCTAAACACCGGCGATGATCAACCCCGACTACCATTGTCGGCCACCTACTGTCAGTATGAGCTCACCTTGGACATTCGCAAGTAATGACCACAATGCTGTCACTTAAAAGACACTATGGCGCGAAATTGACCATAGCAAAAAGAAACGACGACACAAGTTTGTACCAATGCAGGGAAGTTTTCCTCGACAGTCCATGTCCGTCGACATGACACAAGTGGACATGGAGATGCAGGCTGGCAGCTCAAGCAGCACCATATTTGAGTGCTCTGAGGACCGCACGCCATCCACCAGCATATGGAGACTGCTTGCGCTGACACTACCTAACTTTGGGTGAGCAAATATCCCCCTTGCACGCAACCGACACTGCTGACACGGCTGGCCAGCATCCAAGTGCTATGGCTGATCATCATGTCGTATGGTACGCCATATATGACTGGCCTCGGCATACCCAATTCTATCACAACGCTCGTATGGGTCTCAGGGCCGCTCAGCGGTGCAATAATTCAACCCCTGTTCGCAGCCATGTCAGACAGCACTCAGCATCCATGGGGAAAGCGCAAGCCGTATATTGCTGGCGGCGCCGGCTTCGTCGCCCTATCACTGCTGGGCTTAGCCTATGCTGAAGATGTGTCCAACTGGCTTACGAGCACCTCGTCCTCGCATAAGCATATGTACGCCTCGGGCCCACCAAAGGCTAGTGCGCTGACGAAACTGCTGGTGACCTTCTGGGTTTGTGCGCTGAACATTGCTATCCAGCCGCTACAAAACGGAGTGCGCGCCCTTGTCGTCGACAGCTGCCCTGCCCACCAGCAAAGCACTGCAGCAGCATGGACTGCGCGTTTCAACGGCCTGGGCGCCGTGGCCATCTCAGCATCTGCCTTTGCCGACGTCGAGTCGTGGGCGCCGATACTGGGTGAGACCAAGTTCAAGGCGCTGTGCATGCTAGCAGTGCTAGCTCTAGGCGCCGCCATCACGCCAGCATGCATTTTAATACGCGACAAGCCCAGTAGGGACATTGGCACGCACCGCGGAGCAGTGAGCCTGTTCGCACGGCTTTGGACACTGGTTGGGAACCTGCCACCAGTTACTAGACAGGTCTGCAAGGTGCAGTTCTGCGCCTTTACAGCTTGGTTCTCGGTGCTCTACTACTCGACCACCTACGTCTACCAGGTCTTCGTCATCGACCAGCACGTCCACCTCGACCCTGAGATTTTTGGCAGCGCAGACCCCCGCCTCGTCGACATGGGAAAGCAAGCCGGAACTCGTGCCTCGTTTGTTTTTGCCAGTGTCACATTCGCTTCGGCCCTGCTTCTACCGCTCGTCGCCCGCTACTCCGCACGCCAACCAGCTTCCGGTCATTCCATACCGACAGTTACAGTCTTCACCCTGTCGCTTGGCCATGTTTGGTATCTTGCACATTGCTTGTTCGCCGCTCTGATGTTTCTGACCTGCTTCGTCTACACCGTGCCTGCTGCCACTACCATTGTCGGTATGCTTGGCATTGCCTGGTCCATCGCGTCATGGGCTCCATACGCGCTCATCAGCACCGAAATTGCCACTCTCAAGGCCCAGAGCGAGGGAAGCCATGAGCCAGCCAAGAAGGACATGGGAGCCACAGGAACATGTGCGGACGAGACCACAGCAGGTATCATGGCCATTCATAACATGGCCATCTCCTTACCCCAGATTGGCGCCGCCCTGGGGTGCACTGTACTGTTCAAGCTCGTGGAGATGTCGAAACGGGACGACCCGGCTGCATTTGCTTTCAAGTTTGCTGGTATCATGGCAGTGGTGGCGGCATGGATGGGCAGAACTTTGAGATAACTCTTAGAATCACAGTTGTATATAATTGCGAGATACTGACTCTACGCTTACACTATTGTGTACCCAGTACTGTGTATAGTAGGATTCTTTAACATCGCTAATGTATGTTATAAAAAAATTCAAGCTTTTTGAATGAAAACCACAAAGGTGTGGCTGCGGGGAAGTGTGAAGTAGAGTGGAAATGATTCTCAAACGTACGCTGATGCCACATGGGCCACATTACTGTCCATTCTGAAGTCTGTGCTATAATCTGTACTGGTTATTTTCTTTCCTCGATGACTAGATTAGCAGTCTTCCATCACATGATATGCTTTCTCTCCCATACATCGTTCAATTACCCTAATACCTCGCGTACCATGTCCATCAAATGCAGATGGTCCCATCTAGAACAGCTTCTTACCTCACGCCAAGCTGTTCACTATACTATTCATCTGTGATATGAACATGCGCTGAGTATTAAATGACATTTTACTGATGATAAACATACATGGGCACGTGGCCACCGTACGCACTACACAATACGCCCCATCAACACGCAGGATAAGAAATCTCAACCCTCGTTATCACCGCATTCAAAGGCACCGACGTATTCGCCAAAGTATCCGAGCAATGCTCCGTATGATGATATGTCGCCAAAGAACTCTCCATCTTCCAACCTCGCTCAATCGCACGATGCATCATCTTCCAACCGTAAATGCAATGGTAAACGTGGAACCGGCGATCCGTCCACATGAGTTCTGTCGTCTGACTGATGGCTTGCAAAGACGGGATCTGCACTCTTTCCTCCGGAAGCGCCTCGGGTCTCGTCGAGTTGCTGAGGTAAAAGTTCCATGGTCCTTCCTCCATAAATTTGGTTGTCAGCTCGCCGTCGTAGCACTCGAGTGGGAGCCATGACACGGTCATTAGATCGAAGACGCAACCTGCTGCTTCGGCCTCTGCAGGAGATTTTCCGCAGAGCTGTGCGGTGCCGGCTTTGTAGCCCGATGGTGCTTGTAGGGCACCCGAGTGCCCTGGAGATGATGGTGCTGATGATGATGCGTCGCATGAGAGGCTCAAATTTGGGAGCATGCGAGGTAGTATCAAGACGATCAGAAGAGAGAGAGAAAGCAAGAGGGCAAGGATGATTCCAAAGGCAACTAGGCCCAGGGCTGTGGCACCGAAAGCATATCTGATCTTGCCGACTGTTCGAGATCTTGGTGGCTGCTCGATCTCGTTGTAGCTTTCGTTACCGTGGAGCTGTGAGTACTTAGGTAAGCGTGGCGTGCTTGACATTGCTTGGAAACGATTGACTTTGAAAAGAATAGTAGGATAGTAATTTCTGGATGCGCATTCACGCATCGATTAAGGGAACGTCACACATATGGCATGTCTGCTACTATCTGGGAACTGGCAATCACCGGTTTTCTTCCAATTCTCGGAGAAAGTGTCAGGTGGATGATGTAGATCAAGAACTTATGGCAAGTCGGTGGCACTACTAAATCACGGAGATTTTTGTCGGCCTACTATTAGTTATCGGACATTTGGACGGAGTCTAGCTTACTTAGTGCGTAGTCGGTCAGCAGCTCATCCCGGTACTTAGTATGCCCGTGCGCCTCATTGTCCGGATGTATCCTATGCCCCGCCGAACACCAACGTCCGCCTCAACACTACAACTTTGGCGACCCAATTGGAACTTAATACAAACTAACTATCAAACCCCTTGATTCCAATCCGGTTGTTTATGTAACCATAGCTTAAACCAATCGATTGTAGCACAATGAGCCCGAACTGCGGCGTTGTATTCATGGGAATTCATATCGCCTCTCGTTGCGAACCCGTGCTCCACCCCGGAAAAATGCTGGTAGTCGTACGGCACCCCTAAGTTCGGAATCACCATGTTAACGAATGCCTTCATGTCTGGCAAAAACATGAAATTGTTCTCAGGCGCGAGGATCTGAACTGGCACACCCACTTTTTCTATTTCCATCTCCAACAACGACGGATGTGCTGTTGAGATGCAGTCCACTAAGCCATTGCCGCTTTTCGCGCCGAGTTTAAACACTGCCCATCCGCCCCAGCAGTAACCTACGGCGCCCACACGGTTGTACTGGGATCATAGTTCTGTGGCAAACCTGAGAAGCTCAGGTTCTCGAATCTCCTTTGAGTTGCGACTCAAAAACCCAGGCAAGTCGATCTTATTTAGTTGCGACGTATCCTTTAGGATTTCCGTCGGAAGCACCTCGCCACCGAAACTGGGACACATTGGCAGGATCTGGACGGTAGTCGGCTTCAGAAACGTATGGTGAAAAGAACTTACAAGTCTGGCAAATAAACCGTAGAATTCACTTCCTTTGCATACTGGTTAGCTAGAAGCCGGGTATTCCGAAAAGCTCACCCAAACGCGTCATACACTATCCAAATGGCGACTTGATTGTTATTTCCAGACACGTATGTCCATTGGCCCGCATACGTTTTCTCTTGTCCTACAGGCTCGCCGTCCCAGAGTGTACCCTCAACGCAGCATTTGGACAGCGGTATTGTATTATGGTTGGCTGGTCTGTATTCCGATCGATATCGCGCGACGTCTGGGGTAATGATCGTGATAGTTTTGCAACAGATTTATTATACTCTAGATTGTAGAGTAGCGCAAACTGACACTTTAACCTCGGGATAACAGAGAAAGGTTCAATTTGGCCAAGGGTGGGGGCATCGGCCGGGAGCGGGTGAGGGCGATGGTTAAACGACCATACAATAAGAGGTTGAAACGACCACACATTAGTGCCCCCTTTCTTAGCGTACTCGCTAACGATATTTGTATTTTCTAACCTTATTAAGTCGAGATAATAGAACAATACAGTAAAAATCCCGCCTCTCGTACGCACTCTCTCTTTGCCTTTCTTTTTTTCATCTTTACCTTTATATAATTCTGAGAATAAAAAATAGAATGAACAAAAAGAGTGGAGAGAGAAAGACGGAAAATAAGAAAGAAAAGAGAAGTGAAAAAGACATTAAATTAATAGCGCTAGGTAAATAAAGAGTAATCTTACAGATCAAGCTTATATAAGAATGAGCGGTGTCACACTAGAAAAAATCCTTGCTTACTATGTGGTCTTTGAACTTATCATCGCGTGGTCGTTGAACCTTTACCGTGGGGGCGCTGGGGTCTCCACCAGCAAACGTGAGATCCTGAACGTAGATACTAGACAAGGAACCCCAGGTTGTTCAAAAGACTCTTGATATTTGTAGAATGAGAGATTCGAGAGAGTTCTTGTGGCCAATATATGTTTCTGTGCTTTCCTTGCGAGGGATTGGTGGAGAGGGCGGGGTAGAATGTTCCTCGCTGTGTTTTGTCAATCAAGCTTTGAATCTAACGTTAAGCTCGTCTTAGTCAGGTACAACACGTTATCAGTGTGAGGTTCGGTCTTCACGTGACATATGTCATGGCTAAGTAGGAGAAGCGTTTATTTGATAGTCGTTCATCATCCTTTCTAGCAATATATTCTGCCCTATTCCTGGGTAGGTTTTTAGCGAGATCGTGACTCGAACGTTACTTAGTTTGAAGAAATGGGTTGAAGGATGTACGAAGGTATAGGTCTAATTTCTTTGAGGCTACTAATATGTGACCATTTGACCGGCGAAAAATACAGTAGACATTGGAATCTCACTATTCTGTTCACCCACAGCTCCGTTCATTCTGTTTAGAGATTTCAAAAAGGGTGCTTGATTGCGACCTTCTCGAAACTAATCCGCCCTTCGCCGGAAGCCTTTACCGTAGTTTTCAGTTGCCCAAGAGACGGTTTCAATCAAGCGTAATTCCCATTCCTTGTTTGCCGAGATGGAGCCTATGGGTGGAGGCAGGTTCAGGTCCCAGACCTGAGCGGCCAAACACCATATCCGCTTGTTTTTGTCACTGAGTACTAGCAAAGTCCCAGTAAAAATAGCGCCCGACGCAGTGTTGATTGCATCAAATCTTGACGTCGAGGGTGCTTGTCCATTCGTGCATACTGAATAGAAGATGAGCTTTAACGGTTGACCGGATTGATCAATAGCAATCTGGATCTTCGTGACCACATCATCATCCCGGTAGTCGAAGCAGTTTGTTGAGCCCAGATCCCTCAGTATTTGATGGTGAGAAGAAGATGCCGTACTGATGGTAGGACTGATACCTGCAGCTTTTGCGAGCTGTATCGCTGCCCATCCTACTGCATTACCGCCTCCCCAGATCAGAATGCCGTTCTTAGTTAGCATTCCTGATGCCTTAATTTCGGCAAAAGGGACCCCTAAGACGTTGAATAAGGCATCAGCGGTAGTCCTCACCACGATTGACATCACCGCCGCAGCCTCCTTTGGAAGTGTGGATGGCCGTTAGCAATCAGCGAATTTCCCTCAGCAAGCAGCCAATCTTGATGCACCCAGAATTCTGAACCTAAATCCATTTTTTTCCGAGCCAGAGATCTTGTCTCCGACCGCGTAGGGAAATACTGGTCCAACTTTGATAACCTTGCCACTGAACTAGTAGCCAGAAATGTGGTCATTCATCCTAAAATCCACTCCATGCTTCAGATCAGTAGGATTGACGCCAGAATAATGCACCTGAACCAGGCCTTGGTTATCAGCTGGCTCGTAGAGATCGTCTTATTCTGTAGCATATAACCTGTTTTGTAGTCCAATCTATATCGCTTTGCTTGGAGAGGTCATTTTATGATGGTTTTAATGAGAGCCAGAGATTAAAAAAAGTGGTTTTAGGCCCACTCTTCACGACAAAGGGCGTTATATAAGGTAGTGGGGCCAAAGGTAGCGCTCACCTTGATCAAGAAATCGGGTAGCTGGAAACATGTGGTTGCCCCCAGGATGAGTACCTAAGCCTCCATCGACAACAAGCTGCTAGCCCCCGAGCGGGGGTCATGACGGGGGTGACTGTAGTCTTAACCTTTGAAGTAAATCCTACACAGAACTGTTGCATCATAAAACTGTTCCTCAAGGTTTCAGATATACTATTAAGTTGATTGATTCAATTTACATAGTTTCAGTATAGACGCACTCTGTTCTAATGTTTTGCCCCGGGAATACCACTTCTGTAGAGAAATGCACGCTATAATTGTCTAGAACTTCAGAAAAGAGGCGCAGAAGTATGGATTTCCTATATCTATTACACTGGAACGCTACCCTCTGCACCAGTACACTCGATCTCATGCTATTTCCTACACATTGACGCTCGGGGACTCGGTGCACTGAAAAACGCTCTTTGGCCCCGCTCGATTTAGTTAAAATTTATGAGACCCAACTAGAGGTCGGCAGAGGTAGTAGGGGGGGAAGTGGAGGGGGCGGACTAACAAATATGCCGGTGGGCCATCGTACCTTTCCCATAATTCAAATGGATCCCTAAGTGAACTATAGGAGTCTCTCAAGAATCTAATATCCTCCCTCCTTAACTGCTCCTCACGATATCTCTTTGCATCAGACAATCAGTTCATTTTAGGTAAGCAACAAAGCAAACCATCATCTATCTACGTTTATCCCATTAAGCTCGAGGCTCTATTTGCTCTTGAAAACCCATATTCACTATATGAAAAAGAGATGTCGTTCGAATCGACCATTGAAGGTGCCAAGCCTGGAGGCACAGGTCCGGAATCCGGCGTTATCATTGCGGGAGCAGGTCCTGTCGGCTTGCTGCTCGCTCTCCTCCTTGCTCGGAAAGGCATACGTTTCATGGTGTTTGAAAAGAGTCCAGAGCTGGATACCTCTCCTCGAGCGGTACTCTACACTATGAGAAGATGGGACGGGGAAGGGATCCGCGGGAGGCATTAACTGCGGAGTACAGAACGTCGTCTGTGTGGGGCTAGTACGGCTTGGCGCTGAATTCAGATTGAACAGAAAGTTCTGTCTCTTCTCTCGAGCAAGTAAACAGAGTACGTGTGCGTAGTATAGCAGCAAAACTGGACCCGGTTAACTAGAGTAGGTACCGAGTCATTACGAGCAAGCCTTTGTCCAGAGAACGAATGCAACCTCCCAAACCGTATCCTACGACCGTCACGAAGCCCACTCTTTTAAGATGTGAAAGTCGCTAAGCCCCGGACGACTAAGCCAACAACACGCGGGCCCCGATTGCTTAATACCTTGTGGTCAGGCAGGGCAGGCTAGCCGGGACCCTTTTGATTAACAGGCAGTAGTGACGATGCAGCTGCCATGACATCTCGCATAAAGTCTGCTGTCAAGTCAAACGGTCATGAGGGAAAGATAGCTCAGAAGCCCTTCAAATGATGCGCGACGTACATATCGGAGGCTGAGTCTGCCAAGGGTCCGGTAAGAAGCGCACGAGCATCGGCCTACAGCTGCCTTGCACGTGCCCGCACCCCCGTCGGCCCATTTGCTCGGAGCTGATTTTCTTAGCTCCATGTTTGGCTAGTTCTTTAGCTCGTTTTTTAACCTCATTTCTGGGTCGTGTTCCGACCTGTTATGGGCGGAGAGGCCTAGCGAATGAGTATGCTTCTACCTATCGTACAGAAGCTAAAAGATAAGAAAAAGAGAAGATAACTAAGTACAGACTTCTCTTATACCTGCTCGCTTCTGATCACGTGTCCGTACAGAAGGTATATCACGTGGTCGAAGATCACGTGATCCTCTTCAGTAGAGATCACGGGCGCAGCCCTTTACACGACCCGTGTTCTGACTCCATTTCTCGCCCGTTTTCTGGCTCGATTCCTGGCTCGTGATTTACTAGTTCGTGGTTTCGCTAATGTAGCTAGTCTGGCCAATCTGGCTGCCCTGATAGAGATTCTATCGTCCGTTGTGTGGGAGCTACTTTTCTTTGTTTCTTGATTTATTTGCAAGACTGATTTCTTTAACTTCGGAACGCTTACCACGTGGCTAACGCCTTTCGCAGCTCCTGTATAGGGCTAACTTTTAGTTTCGCCTTATAGTCTACTTTATAGCTAGTACTATAGCTGGTCAGGCTAGCAAGGGTTTTGAGCTTTGTTACGTGGTTATGCGCTTTCCTGATACAGCGATTCCGAATATCTTGGCACTGGTAATGAGCACAGAGATTCTCCGAGCCAATTAGATCCAATTTTCTCCATGCACGAGCCTCCCTGGGGACTGATTATAATATGCAGCTATACAGCTGTGATAAGCAGTAGACAAAGCTTCTTTGAGTAGTTAAACTCTATTTATTTCTGTCCCTGTTTTGCGGCCCCAACACGTACTTTTTCGAATATGACTACCACGTTGAGTTTAGCAGTCATGAAACGGATTTCTGCCGAATGAGCTCGTACTCCGAGCTGACTGCATGATATACCTATTACACTTAGTTGACACCCATGTATTTTCCTTCAGGGTGACGGACTGTAGTACGTTTCACCTACGGTAAGATCAACCGCGGGAGTGAGTGCAGCAATTCGGCCCAATCACACAGCTTCTCAAGTCTAGCGAGTTGATATTGCCATTTTTGACGGTTCTGTCGATTACGTCGGTTCTTAGGCTTAGCTTCGGTGAATTACCTGCATTTTCCAAGGACGCTCCTTGTGTCACGAAATCAGATCAAACAAGGACTGCAATGTAACCCCGCTAGTGAGCCTTACCAGTTCTCACCGCCTACACAACCGCTGTATCTATATCATCAGTATGTAGGCTATTGCTTGTTGTTTCTTCATTGTTCTGGAATATTTAAAAATTCTACAAAGTACTCCCGGTGTTAACGACACAATAAAGTTCCTCTTTTCTAACAGACCTTCTCTTTTTCCGTCGACGCAATGCAGCCAGAAAAGACTGCTCGCAGCAGGATAAATTCAAAAGCATGTGATCAATGCTATAGATGTAAAGTCAAGTGTACAATGGAGCTCAGCGGCTGCGGCCGCTGTCGATTGACGGGTGGCGTATGCACGTACAGCCTGGGCAAATGGATGGGCCGGCCAAAGAAGTCGAGCCAGCAAAACTCGAAAGCCCGAGCAAGAAGCATGAGAGATGCTGAAAGTATCTCTCTAGAGCACGACATGAACTCTTCGGGTAAGCCTTGTCTATCATCACGCCATATAGACACATTTCCCTAACTCTATCAGATCATATCATACACATGCCAGAAACACCACAAACATGGGAGATGCTCTCATCTGCTATGGACGATTCAGACATGAATACTTTGAATCATGACGCAATATCGCTATTCTCGATGGGCGATAACACACCAACCATAGTTGAAGACTGCTATACCGCCCCCGATGAATGCCTAATTATCAATACTTCAGATAAGAAGACAAGTTCCAGTTCTATCTCGCCAGCTTGGGTCCAAGCAAGAGAGACCTCAATAAGAGGCGTAGAGACCGGTAGCACGCCATCGGTATGTTTTGGCTATGTATTTAAAACGAAAACAAAAAGTATAGACCTAACCAGCGCTATAGTCACAAGAGTTCCGACGAGGCAACTATCATAAGCATCGAGACAGCGCATACTCATATCATCCGACTCCACAGAGCCCAGGTTGTTCTCACAATTTCAACTTTGGGACAATGGATACAGATTTCACAGCTTCGCCATCAGTCTCCTTGGTAGGCAACATCGAAACGTAAGCTATATGAACACGTCCCTATATCCAAAGAAGATCGTACACTAAAACACGTCACAGAAATTCTATGAGACATGCAGAAGACATGGATGGTGTGCAAACACGTCCCATGATGCAAGAAGGATCTACATCTTTTAACGAGGAAGCGTGTCACTGCAAGTGCTCTCAAGTTGCGCTAGCTTGCCTAGACAAAATCTCCATCGTGCCTTCTGAAGCCCGGTACATCGACCGTCTCAACACCATTCAATCCGCCCTCATCACTGCAGAGCGGCTAGTCCTCTGCACAGATTGCCAACCCAACATGACCATCGCAAGATGCTGCTTCATCCTGGGAAACACTCATGAGCTGGTGAGTGATGTGAACTCCCACGCAGGAGACGCATCCAGCCCTACTACCGCCATTTTCTCCCGCCAATCAATAGAATACGTCCGGCGCATTAAGCGCCGCGCCAGCATGCTTTTTGCGGGGTTGAAAACATTGCAGGATTTAGTGTCTGGGGATCGGCGTCTTTCAAACATGCAGTCTGAGTTTCTATCAGTGCTTGCGAATTCTTGGCTTTCTCTACCAGATTATCGAGATTGAAAACAAAATCAGAAATTTGAAAAATCTCAAATCATCCGAATCCAAACAAACGTGTTACAATACGCTTTTTTTTAAATCATACAATGGGTTTGGGCTGCCGAATGAGGATGGTGGTAGTGTATGGCTTTGACCATCCATATTGCGGGCGCTCCTGCTGCACTAATTTGATTACTTGGAAGTCGTGGTCTTGGTAAAGCTTGACACCTGGTGTCTTGGCAACAACAATTGTCCTAAGACTGTTTCTGTCCGCGTATGCCAGACCTTCAGCGAGCAACATGGAGCCGATACCACGTCTCTGGTGCTCTGGATGTGTAGCCAGATAATCCAATACTTCGAGGCAATCAGTCCAAGTAAAATGCACAAGTTCATGTTGGAAAGCTCACTGAGAAACTCCTCCCCAGTGGACAGCACCTCAGCCTCTGCTTTCTCTATTGCCTCACTGAGCTCGTCCACCATCTGATGATCAATGCCACGGATTTTCCCGTCATCAGTCACGTCCTGGAACGCTTGTTCATATGCTTGACGTTTTTCCAAATCAGTTTCAAGCACTATACCATTAGCCCACGTGTCAACATGTCCATCGGGGATAATCCAACGCGCATAACCAACAACATTCCCAGTAGCTTCCTCTACAACCTTGCGGTGGCGCTTAGGGGATGTCACTTTAACAATGTTCCAGGGCAAGCGCCTTGCGCAGTCGTAGATGATGGTGTCCAAAGTTACGCCCTTCCACAGAGATGCCCAGTGTGCATCTTGGTAAAAAGCGCGCATCATGGTGTCAGCCAGACCCATTGAGTCAGTGGGCTTCACCGGATGGATCGTGTAGATCTGGAGCAAAATATTAGCCAAAAAACAACAGCAGGGATCAAGAGTTGCAACCTGCCATTTTTGTAAAGATATGCAGATTATGTCAGCCGATGAGTGGAACTTTGCAGGGAGAAATAGTTGGGTAGTCGTCACGAGTCAGAGGCGTAGTGGGGATCTAGCAGGTGGTGGTGTCTTTGTGAGCCAAACTTTCTCACTTTCCAAATCCTTAACAGTCTTCCTACATGCTACTCTTTATTCTTCAAATGTTCCTGTGTGATTTTTTGCATATCTCCCCTATTTTGGTCGTTGGCCAAAGCCTCATTCAAAAGGACGACGAATGCTTGTCATTCAAGGTTTTACGATTACTTAGTTGCATCGCGTGGATTTTCCGGCCCGAAGCATGCATGGGCCGATCTTCAGGCCGGCGGGGCGCTGCCATGATTTCAAACTTCGGAGCCGAAAACAAACCTCCGAAAACTTCAAGGCTCCGCAACAACTATGGAGCGGCGTGTGTTCGCTGCCAGAGAGCGCCCGTTCATCACCGCACAATTAGATTACTCAATGCTTTGGAATATGATGATAGTGACCTTGCATTGTATATAACATGTGACACAACCACTAAAGGGTAGCTAATCCAACCCGCTACATTCACTCACTCACCCACCCACATCTACCCAACTACATCCCGCGTTCAAACATTGACGAAACAAGACGCCGGCATGTTACCCACAATCATGAGCAAGATGTCTCGCTGTAAGTTTTGAATTCTGCCCTTCCCCCCTTACACCACCAAACCCAATTTCCAACTTGAGAACCCATAAGCTTACTCTCCCCAAGACACAAAACTCTCCGGTCCAGAATACCAAAACCCGCCATACAGCGCTAGCGACGAAGATCTGCCCTTCCTCCCAACCCCACGTGAAAAAGACGACTTCACCTCTCCGCCCCCCAGCACGCCCCGCTCGCGCCTCTGTTCCGCCCTCATCGTCGCCTCCACATCCCTAACCCTCGGCCTCCTCGCCTTCATCCTTATCGTCGCCCAGCGGCGCCACCCGCAAAGTGCCGTCTCGCTGTGGCCCACCTACCAAGGCGGCTCCGTCGTCGTCGAGCACTGCGGCAACTCGCCGCAAGAAGCGCAAGACCTGGGTTGCACCTGGGATCTCATGAGTTTCGGGTGGGTGCACCCGCGCTGCTTCAAGCCCGACGAGTCGCAAATGTGGCTCGAGAAGTACGGGCCCTGGAAGTGGTACTACGACCTGAACGCTACGCAGGAGATTGCGCCTGAGGACCTGACGACGACGGGGCGTGTATATACGGAGCAAGGGTACCATGTTGTGCATTGCTTGTATATTTTTAAGCTGCTGCATATGGCGGGGATGAGTGGGCATATTGTTACGGATGAGGCGATTCCGCTGGCGCATACACAGCATTGTGTGGATATGATTTCTTCGCCAAAGTATACGGATTTTAAGCATATTAACACGCGGGTCGATATGCTGTTTGCGCGGTGTGTGACGCTTAACTAGATTTGCGCTTCAGTTAAGTATCAACTGAAGGAAAAAGAAGAAAACAAGATTTTGTTTAGATCAGTACGTTTAGCGACTTTTGTTAGTAGTAGTTGGGTTATAGCTACAAAGGCCGAGATTTCGCCCTATTATATTGGCGTATCATCACGGGGTTGATAATCACACCATCCTTATTTATTCACTTCATTGAAATTAAACATGTATCGATGATAGAATAGAAATAGTGCAAGTCGTATTTACACCTCACTTCCACCATCTTGCTGCTGCTCCTCATCACCAGGCTTATGACCATGCCCTTCGATATCCTCCATATCCTCATCCATGCCAGGCCACAGCACTTTCTTCTGCAACACGCCCTTCACATTGAGTACAGCAACCCAAAACCATAGTATAACAAGTATGATAGTCATAGCGCTACACACACCCTTGATTCCCGGGCTATCCAGGGCCTTCGCAATCCAGAGAAGCGCAATCGTCATTCCTGCATTTGGGAAAATGAAACCCCAGTGATTGAGTGTAAAGTGTGAATCTTTGGCGCTGATGATGATGCTAACAGTAGCGATTGCACTGAACCAGAAGGAAATGAGCCAGAAGAATATGCCTACAATGACGCCGAATGCTTTGATTGCATCGCCAACGGGAAATGACGTGATGGCGAGGAAGTCGGGGGGTAGATGTCTTGGAGCCTCCATACCGAGCGCAACGCATGCATTGGCGGTGTAAGCAGCTGGACCGACAGCAACGTACATACCAGGTCGCTTCGGTATCTCAGGTAAGTTGCTGTTGACGAGGCGAGTGAAGTAGAGGGTAAGCATCAGAAATGCAATGGTCCAACCCAGACCCTGAAACGCAACGCTGCCAATGAATATCTTATAGCCTGCATCAGGAGGCTGGCTCTTCAGTAAAGTACTGCCAAGAACGCCCAAGATTAGGAAGGGATAGATTGGTAAGATCCATGAGGGCATGGCGTCGGCGACGGGAAGTTCTCTTCGGTCGAAGATGACGTGGTACTGGAAGACGCCAACGAGGATGACAATGGCAGCGTAGAGCCAGTAGAGTATCTCAAGTGTCTTGACTAGCCATGGCCCGCTCGAGGGAACACCGTACAGTTCCATACAGTAGATGATCAACGCAATACTTACAAAGTATGCGCCGAAGAAGAAGCTCTCGTAAGGGTGATGTAAGCTGAGCTTCAGCGATCCACGATTGTGTATGAAGCGGTAGGAGATGCACGCAGTGAATATGAGGAATAAGACGATATCCAGTATGTAGAATATCTTTCCAATCGTCTTCAGGCCTGAGAAGTTGTATGGTTGTTGGCCAAGTAGTGTTGCAAGCGCACCGGTTGACATTGTGCATTCGAACCAAGACCAGCTAAAGTGGTCAAGACGCTTTTTCCATGGTAGGTGTGTAGGGTTGTAGTCTTCCCTTTGTGCCGGCCGGGTACGCCGTTTGATAGGGCGATGAAGTGAGTGCGAAGGCATGTTGCTGGTTGTGTCGCCAAGGGCACCGTTGACGGTAAGGTTGCAACAACAATGCAGTCACAGACTGGCAAAGTAATTGATCCAAACTCAACACAAACCGCAGCGACGAGGCAGACTTGTGTTATGTTGATTGCCAAGGATTCCGCTACTACTAGGCGAAGCAAACGCCATGATTCCTTGACGTCAAATTGGCATTCCATCGTTCAAGGCCAAGAGAAGGTTTAAAATAAAGGCGTCATAACTTTAGGGAGGTGGACTTGGAACCTTGAAGGAGTATGGCTTTCGTAGATCCCGATGAAGGTCGAGCGAATGAGGCAGTGTCACCCCTGCGTGATCGAGCCTCATAGATCTTCGTGCTACGTGATGACAGCCTTCCGCGTCTTTCTTGAAATCCATATCCTAGGGGCTTCTCAGAGGTTGGGCTGCGATAGGCTCAGTTGCGACGATCGCAGTTATAGTGCCGCCGCAGCAGATGATGTGCCGATGACGTAACGCTCGCGACAGCGAAATACCATCCTTCAGTGTCTCTTCGTAGGATTTCATTGAATGAATTAACATGGGGAGGTTGCTTATTTTCTCTACATGTGGATGATAGTGTCCAGACAGCCACCATAATCTGGGACGTGGGCGACAATATCTTCTATGGCTGGACCAAGGCTATTTGGACCATCAGCCTTTTGCAGCAACCCTACGAAAACATTGAACCGACACCGAGTTTTTCCATTCATTTTTGTGTATTATTCCTCTTGAAAATTGTACTTATTTCGGAATCACCTATGGGAACAGCTGGAAACCTGATCGCGAAGGTTTGACTGGATATTGAGATCTCGGACCGCCTTGGCGAACGGCAGTGAGTTAGTAGAAGAAAAAAACCATCTTATCACTGTACAGAATGGCAAGATCAAAGTTGGATATTTTCTAGAAAATGTCACTACTTCCAGGTGTTGAGGCAGTCTCATGTGGGTAAGTCATTGTTATTAGCTTCTCGCCAGTTACCGGTCTGGTCGGTATCTAGTAAGAATGGGGAATTCGGATCCTTCGAGAGGCAGGAGAATGTCTACTGACAGAACCAGCCGTATGCGCTACATCTGTGTAAGTATTATGAATTACACCCTTTCACCTATTCGGTATCGAATCTTGCTAGTAGCACGGTTGAAAACACCTATGCGCAAAACTGCCGCTGCTACTCTTGGATACGTGGACAGTGTTCAGTTCGGTGCTGCATTCATTGTCTTCATGATATTGGCACTTAAATATAGTCTAAAATGGTTTTCAAGCCTTAAGAATCCAGGTGGTTACGCAGGTTCTTGGGTGATTCTACCTCAGTGTTAGCAAGACCAAATTTCTCGGGCAACTTAGTCGTTCTAATAGACGCCAGTACCGAGAAGCAGAACCCGAATTCCGTGGAATTTTTCCTTGTTCTCGACGCAATGCCCATGGCACGAACCACAGAAATGTTTTAAGATGTTTTTGTATGTCATCCTGACTGTTCTAGGAGGCAATAAGGTTTCTCGTTATCATGCTGTTTGCGATACATTCCACAGCTGGGAAGTTCTCTCATATGCTCCACCTAGGCTTAAAGCTAGTCTTGATGTATTGGCAAAGAAAATTGGAAATTCACGTGAGCAAGGTAGCACTACAATGTGTTGAACACGGCCATGTAACATATAGCTCGGTCTTCTAAGAACATTGTGGCATGTCAAGTTACACAAACGGAGTGCCTGACAGCAAATCGTTGGCACCAAAACCTTGTATGAGAAAGAGACCGTTGACCCAAAAAGAAAGACCCCCATGACAGCAGATACGACCGACCATCAGCCCAAGAACCAGGTCCCTGGATATCATTTCTATAAATAATCAAATCGATGCGTTGGCAACCAAGACCCAATACATTTTGGTTCGTAATTATCTGGACATATCCGTACATGTGCACACTCCCCAATCGCGCCTAGCTGGGCCACCATATCGTGATTTCCCCAACCAGCCCAAATGCAGCCAGAAACAATGGAACTTTCGACCCAGCGAATCACAACCGCAAACAGACGAGCCATGATACGAAAAAAAACATCGCGTGCCAGTTTAACTATACCTAGGCCGAAGTAAAAAGCGGTAAAGCAACTACCTCGGCCAACGCGGACCTTCGTAAAATGTACATACATATTTTTTTCCTTCAGGGCCTCCCACACTTTAATATCGATGATAACTGTGTTTTGCGATTAAAGCCCAGGGGTGTGTGTGTGGCTGCAAGGACCGTTTTATGCAGGGTAATATGTATACGCATGTAACCCTCACATTTCAGGCTATTTTTTTCTTCTCTCTCTTGTTTGCTACATAGTATCGCAAGCAGCAGGGGGGAGGAAGGGGCGGCGCAACGGTACCTATGGCGCGGTGCAACGCCCGTAGTACCCACGGAGAAAGCGAGAAGCGGCGAACGAGACGAAACGCTTGTGAGTGATCTTTGGCGGTATGGTAGATATGCGATATAAGTGATAAAAATAAATAAGCTTTACACAGGTTGTTAAATTTCGATAGTACATTAGACCTTTTGCCAAGTTGGCTTGCCGACTCTTTTCAGCTGGGCAACCCCGCGTTTGGGCCGTGTGCCCCGCGCCACTCTCTACCCTCGGACTCAGGTCAGAACAAAAGAGGCGTGCGGTAAGAAAGCAACTCTTGTGTAATACCCAGCCACCAGAGCCAAATATCTTCTATCTTAGCACTAGCTAGGTACCAAAATACGAACCCACGGTCCCCCCCGCTTTCCTCGTGTGAAAAGGCATGAGATTCAGTAGTACCGAAACGCGGAATGCGCGCTGGTGCCCGGCACGCGATACTAGAATATGTATTGGCTGAGTGCCTAACTCATAAGCTAGAGTAATACGCTAGCGGGCTGGCCGTGCGACTATGCCTCTTGCGAACTGAGTTGTTTTCCCATAGGATGGGGATGGAAATGGAGTGCGGTTGGTATGGGAGGAGCGTAGCGGAAAGTGTTGTGAGCGTGGTGTTAGTGGGGGGGTTGTGTGGCTGTATAGTTTTTGTATGACAGGTGAATTTGTGTGGTGTGATGAGCTTGGGACACGAGCGAAAGGGGATGGGGTAGGGCTGAGTGGCATGGGTTTTTGGGTATATAAGAAGGGGTAGAAGGGAGGGTGGTGGGATACTACAAGTTCAGTATTCCAACAGATAAAAGAAAGAAGGCAAAGGATACTGTACTACGGGCAGTATGTTTCTCCCCTCGTTGACTCTCCTCGCTAGCCTTTCCTCCCTTTTCCTGCCTCAAGTCCATGCTGTTGGCCGCGCAATCGTTAGCAATGAATGTCCGGAGGCTATCTACCTCTGGTCCGTAGGCGGAAGCATCGGTCCGCAGCAGAAGATCGAGCCGTCGACATCCTACAGCGAGACATTCCGGCGCGACCCTCAGTCCGGGGGGATCGCGCTTAAGATTTCGCCGCTCGAAAATGGCATCTTTAAACCGAACGTCAGCCAGACTATTTTCGCCTACAATCTTGATGGCCAGCAGATCTGGTACGATATGAGCGATATCTTTGGCGATGGATTTGCCGGACGCACAATGTCGCTCAAGCCGAGCGATACCACGTGCCAGAGTATTGTTTGGGGATATGGAAAGCAGCCTGCTGGAAGTTCCATAAAGGTGTGCGGGTCTAGCAGTGACTTGACTCTATCGTTTTGTACGGGTGGTTGCTTGCCGAGTTGGTGTAAGTCACAGCATGTTCTTGTTCGATTTTGAGTTACTGAATTGGAGTCTAGATCCTTGTGGAAATGCTGCGCCGGGAAGTAACAAGGTTTGCTGCACGCATTGTATTGGAAGTCATCACTGTGTTGCGGCGCCATGATGGGTGGAATGAAAACAACGATTGGGGATGTGATGATGATTGCTAATTGGGAAACGATTGATTTATGGACAGTCAAGACATCATTTCCTTGTACGCATGTTCGGGTGAGATATGATTAGAGAGTGTAATGCGGGAAATTTTGGTCTACCTAGTATCCTTAACTAGTAATGTTAATTTGTTTGCTGATGACCTTTTGTAAAGTCTGTTACGACCCAGTTCATGCAGCGTGATGGCTAGCTATTCTGACCTAGCTAATTCCTTCAAATCCCTGTTAAGAAGATACAATATATTAGAATACGCCGAAAGCACCAATCTGACCTATCCGAAAGTAAGAGCGTTCTACATGGTGCGGTCGTGAGACCTTTGCGCAAGCGCGTAATCTACCAGTGCATTCTATCAGACTGTTGAACGAGATGAGCATCCCTAGCCACACCAGATTTCCATTGGATGCCCTGCATGCTTTCATTGTGGTACATGTGTCCCACTTCCCTGACTAAAATTATATCCATATGCATACCACTTCACTCAGATGCCTGAGCTCATACCCTGATTCGATTCGGCCAATTTCACCACTTTTTCCTCGCAGCTTGCTGCTCTATGTCTAGACAATCATCCTATCGCTCTTTTCTGATAGTTTGAAGAAACCCCTCCAATCAACGGTGACCCAACTCGCGATGTCGAACGTGGATGTTTCGGAGGTAGGTGGTTCGGGCGCGACGATCCTACAGCCAGATCCTATCTCCAGTTCAACCATGTTATTTTCCAAGATTTTAACTTCGCTGATATTTGGTTCCACATGTCTTGTCTTGCGACCTCTCTTTGTGCGGCTCCCCTCATCCTTTCCAACATTGTTGGTCTTCTTCGAGCTTCCACTGTCTTCAATAGGCTGTGTGCGGCTGTTCGTTGAGATGGGTAACACAACACCCTGGAATACAGCTTCTTCAGGTAAAGATGAAAGGCTCTGGACTTTGTTAAAGCTGAACTGGAAGCTATCCAGACCTGGGCTCGTTAGCATAAGCGAAGCAGAACTCTCAATATACTTACTGAGTAAACCAGGCAGCCGTCGCCTTATCCTCCGCTTTCCGCGGTTTCTAATATGGCAGTTGTTATCCACATCCTCTTCAGCTTTGGGCTTCTGTTCGCGCGTTGAATTGCTCTTTTTAGTTGGGTTCATCCCACGAAAGAATGCGCTTTGCGCCCACGACTCAGGATCGAATGTCGCGCTGTTGAAGAGTCGCAAATGGCTGTTCGCGTGACGTAGGAAAAGGCGACTGCCAATCACCGACGACTGGCGTATCCTGCTAGCGCACAGATTCAGATCTGAGAACGGCCTGCGGAAATTAGAGTATCTCCAAACTTCGTAAGGCGTTAAGAAGCTCAGGGCCTCTAACTCGCGGCGTATATCGACTCCCGTTTCCTTAACTCCACAAAAGAACTGGACATTGATATTTTTGCGTTCAAGTTCCATCAGTAGGTCCAGATAACTGAAACCGCCCTCGTCTGCGGCGTCGCAATTAATGATGGCTTCGTGGGATTCGCTGTGGAAGAAGAGTTCGACGTATCTCAACTGTGTGTTTTCGGTAGATGTCTCATTGATCGTTTTTAGGAAGGCAAATGTGAATCGATTGCACGATCGCAAATGTAGGTGCGTGAGTGTAGAAGGCAAAACCTTCAAGCGCGCCTCTTCCAACGTCTGTAATCTCCCGTCTTTCAGTACAAGGTTGTGTTTTGGTGTATCATTCTTATCCGGTGTAGTTTGACGGTCCTCTTTCGAAAAGGCAACGTTTTGTGGGCAACCGAGGGCATCCATGGGGACTTCTAGACGCTTCAGGCTAGAAAAACCAGCCAGTGTCATGGTATGTTTTCCCATGTTTCGCCATTGGAGATCGCGGAAATGGAGAATCTCGAGAGTCGCCGGCCCCTTCCATCTAGTGTCTTCAGCAATGGTGAGAGATTGGAGTGTGGGACGCAGTATCTGGAGAGCGATTCCATCGAATGGCGTAACTGGAAGTAGTTCTGGGTTCAATGAAGGAAATGTACGGGGTGCTGAGTGGTTCGGCCTGGGTGGGTGGCTAGCTTGGAAACGTCTGGCTCCCGGGAGCTCGATCGTTATTGATCTTATATTCGAACACAACGCTACCAGTGTGTTCAAGAAGAAGGCTTGGTCCTCGCGCCATACTGGACCCAAAAAGTCCTTGGTCTTCCGGATGTGGCTCCAGGTCACCTCGCCCTGAGTATTGGCAGTGATGATTCTGCCAATCGTCCCCTTGACATCACCGTCGAGGTTAGGAACCTCTCGGTAGTCGAAACAATCAAAGTCACCAAGGTTGACGTTTGTGACTTTCTGGATGAGTTCAGGGTGATGCCCAAGCATCTCAAGAAAACCTCTGATGTTTGGCTGACGAAGAACTGGCTTCCGAACCATAGTTTGTTGCACAATACTGCTGAGCCGCTTGTTTACAAGCGAAAAGTTGAAGATAGCCTCTTCCGTGTGGAGCTTGGAGGCTATCAAGTCAATCAACTCAGATGGTAGGTCCAGAAGGCATATCCTGGCGCGCTTGTACGCTTCACCGTAGTCCAAAACAATATTTGATTGGTGATCGGAGCGCTGCTGCTCATGACTGGGGGCAGTCTCTCGTCTCGTAGTCTCGCGTGGGAGGTTTGGGATCGCGGGCGTAATGCCAGGACTTCCCACCCGTCTCTTTCTCATCCTCGAGCTGGATGGTGTTGATGGCGCCATTGTGAATTTGCGGGCTTACCTGAGGTGAAGTGATTATCAAACAGTTGAGTTGCGCCGTCTTCCCGCGTATTTCTATATGCTCATGCGCTGGGTAGAAATCGATGTGGGCATTTTAGTCCCGTGAGTTAGTCACACCTGCGGCAACCGCGCTATGTGCAGCTGATAAACACAAGGTGACGCCAAAAGGTGAGCGGGGGGATGAATAGATTGTTTTTTGTTGCTGCAGGCTTTAGAAATATCCTACGAGGGTATCTGAAAGATTTGGAAAGTTCTGCCTGCTTCAGGGACTGTCTGTCTGTTGCACTCGTTCACTGTAGTGGGAGGAGTGACACGTTCACGCCAAGACGCTAGCGTTCGATTGGGTGATTCATCATTGCTGCCTGATACACACACGTGATTGATAGATGATGCATTATGCATGGAAAAATCCCGTTCCAGGCAGGAGTGCATAGATAAAGCATCGAGTGTCCACTTCCTTGATTTGTACGTGTGTGGGGTAAAGGTACAGATGGCGGCTCCATACGACAGGTCACGCGATTGGAGAAAAGGACATATTTGACGAATCGCTTCTCTTAACAACACTAACCACTATGCTAAAATATGGTCACTCAAACTAGGTTTCCTCCTCTCTTCGAGAACATGAGCTCCAAGGCCCTGATTCGTAGAGAAAACGATCAATTGGGTTTGATTCGACAAAACTCAATCGTTCAGAGGTATACATTTCAATTCCAACAAACGTCCACTGATAGTGTTCCGCTCCATAGAAGCCCCTTCTTCCTATCTTTGCAGTGTCGCAATGCCCTCCATGCATCGCATTGCTCCCGGAACACCCAACACCCAGGAGGTCATACATCATTCTGCTGGACTTCACGTCTTTGGTTTCTTTGGATGAAAACGTATGGTCGTACAGGAAAGTCCTCTGCGGATGCGACTGCGACATTGATTTTTGTTGTGAAACTGCAGGGCGATATCGAGGACGTTCAACAATGACACCGTCTGAGCGTTCGACCGCGCGATATTTCTTGGGATGTCGCTTGGATGTGCTTTGAGTGTTCTTCGTTGTTTCGTAGAGGGCGTGGAGAGAGATATTTGTATCCTGATGAACGTCGCAGCTGGGCTTCTTGACTGAGCTCTCTACAAGGACCCGCATTTCAAAGTAGATGAAAAGTAAGTGGCTTCGGCTGGGCAATTGATAGTCCAGTGTTTTCTGCATGCGTGATGCTCTTCTCTATATCAGTGCATCATGCTCGTTTTTGTACTCACAATTCAACCCACACTGATACTATTAGCGCGCGAGCCCTCACGAAGCAGGAGGGCTTCGCGGAGTCCAGAACCATTCCATCGAGATCTGAAACTCTCCACAGCGTTCATTTGCCCTTCTCTTGTGGGACCAGCTCGTTGCGAAATAGTTGCCTTACGAACGAAGAACGGGATCGTCCTAAAAACCACCCCACAAAGATATCATATCTGCAGATATCGGTCCCAGCCTCCAAATTCTAGACCGCAAGGGCCTCTCGGAATCAACCGTAGTCCTAAGGTGGGTAAGCTGTCGCGGCTACAACATGCTTTACCCATGTCTGCAACGTCTCCTGAGGGTAGAATAACGTCATAAGAAGACGATCGTGAGATGTTCTAGACTTGCAGGCCGGGTGTGGCGTCTGCGCATCTCGACTCCATGACCTGGTGTTGTGCAGCTGAGACGCACAGCCTCCTGCGCTGCGTAGCGAACATGATGTCATGCGCAAGGCCGACAACGTTTCTTGCAGATTTCAAGCATCAGCCAGAGATTCTGGGCAGCGCGGCTGCAAAATAGTCAAAGGTCTAGAATTTTGAGTTGTAGTAGGAAGTAGGGAGTTCAAGAAAGAAGATTGCGGAGAGAGGAACGTGGGGGCGCGATGATGTCATGACACGCTAGAGCCGCTAGAGCCGAAGACCCTGACAGGAACAGGCAACGCAAAGCAAAAGTGACCAAGGGTCTTGTAGCAGTATAGGTTAGACATGAGAAGTCTGAGAGTCGTTCTGAAATTTTGTTACCCTTCCACTTTGATATCTGGCCGGGGAAGATCATGCGCTGTGTTTAATCGCATGGTTATATAGTGAAAAACGGCTAGTCTTACAACAGAGGCACATTCCATGTATGTAACAGGCGGGAGCGAAAATCCGTCTATAGCCCTACGTCTTCTTCGTCCGTCTCGGTCATAAAAATGAGATTGTTTCAATGATACTAGTACCGATTCAACCTATTATACAATAAAGGGGAATACGAAGTGGAATGTAGAGGTAAAGAAATATTATCCAAAACTGTGTGAACAGTAGATAACCGGCTTTGACAGAATGGAGGTGCATCAATCAGGTACTTGCCCTGTAGCAAACACTTGGTCAAGAATCAATCACGACTTATAGCGCTATGAACGGCAATTGAGTCATTAAGTCTACTGGAGACGCTTACCATACATTGAGCGCAGCAGCACCAGCAAGCACAAGCAGCGCAGAGCCCTCGATGCCGAACCTGGCAGCGGCACCAGTGCTCTCAGGTACACTTGCAGACGACTGGCTCGATGTTGGCGTGGGCACAATGCTGGGAGTAGAAACAGTGCTAATAGTTGCGCTGGCCGACGCGCTGGCCGTCTCGCTGACCGACTCGACTGTCATCTGTCCTGTACTCGCACTCCTTGTCAAGGTTGCAACAGAAGTAGATTGAGCGCTTGTCTTGGTAGTTGTCACACTAGCACTTGGTGCTGTGCTTGTTTCGGTCCTCAGCAAGCTATTTCCTGCTATAACGTCGACGGTCAAAAACTTGACATCGTCGTTAGAGAAAACCGCTGTGACGGGCTCACCGCCAGTGTCGTCATTGCCACCCTTCTGCTTTACTGTGCATGTCATCTCGACTTTTTTCTTGTTGTAGTCGCAGCCCAAGCTCATGGAGACACCACCAGCGTCCATGGTGGCCTGGTAGCGTGTTTGCGAAAGGATCGTCGCGTCCAGTCCAGGACCCCAACCGCACTCTGAGCTGTCTACGCCAGTAGGGCACGCCATGCGGAATTCGGTCATTGTTGGGTTGACAGTATTGATTGTCGCGACAGGATCGGCACCCTCATAGCCTGTTGCGAATATGTTGTTAGAGCGGCTTCATTAGGCTACCAAGATAATAAGAAAATTGCGAGTGACGAACCACCGGGGAAGTAAAAGCTGACGATATCAGCAGCGCAGACGGTGCTGGCAAGAATGAAAAGAAGGGTGGTTGATTGACGCATGGTACGTTTGTTGTTGTTGTTGTTGTTGTTGTTGTTGTTGTTGTAAGCTCGATGGTGGGTCTGTCAGAATACGAGTGTAAGAATTAAAGTTTAGATGTATTTTGATAGGCGGATAGGTATTGTGGCTTTGTTGCAGGGTAAAAGGAGCGGCTATGGTATGTGTGGCGTTAAGGAACGTGAGCTTGCGACTGCAAAACGAGTGGGCAGACGCGGTAGGGCAGAAGGCGAAGCAGACGGGTGTGCGCGCTGACTCTAGTAGATATAAGTACGAAGCGCCATTTACCTGTATCTTTGTTCCCCCTGAGCTTCAGAGCAAGGCTTGTCTTGCTAGCCGCGGCTAGATGTGTGCAATAAGCGGCGATCTGCATGAGATGCACAGCCCGACCTGAACTGTAGCAAAATTGACTCCAGGCCAGCAAAATTGACACCAAGCCTTGCAAAATTACCGTGTGGGTCGATGCCGGGGACCAAGGAGATTGGTCATTAGTGTACACGAGTCAGGTTAGCAGTGCTGGTAGGGCCGGGATGAGTGGAGCCGCACGGTAGCAGGTGAACGACGGCCTTCGCATGTGTTGTCAGGCACACATGGGCTTGAAACGCTTGCCTAGTCGACCAAGACGTGCGTGACACGTGGATTAGGAACAGTGGGGGGGCTGTGAGTGCCGAGATCCGACATGCTATCGCAATCGCGGCCGTATCCATGAGGCGGGCCGTTCTCTGAGGGTCTTGTAATATCGCCGTGGATATGAATGCGGATGCGGGTGTGGGATGCAAAGGAAAGATGGAGGTAGAGAGGGGCAGAAGGGATGGAGGCTGTGGAGAGCATGGAGATTAGTACCTGTGTGTGTGTACTTGCCTTGCCATGTACAACCCCACTTTCCCACCTTCCGGCACTTGGTTACAATGCTATCATCACCATCATCATCATCGTCACCACCACCACAGCACTGCATACATATACATCTCCAAAAACTAGCCTGCCGACGATGAGAGCAGTCCTTCACCTTACAGAACGCTCCGTATAGTCCGACTGCTTGTCTTTCTCTGTTCCCGGCCATAACCGCTGCCTCATCAACGAGTGCCCTGTCTGTGAAGTCAAGCTGATCCCTGCACCTGATCACCCTATCGACACTACAAACTAGCACCACCAAGCTCATCAGTCATGGAAGCACAGGGTCTGCTTGTCATATGGGGATCTGTTGACCCTACAACAGTAGACGAAGGCGCTCTGAACGACTGGTAGACCAACGAGCATCTCCCTGAGCGCCTGCGCCTCCCAGGATTCCAGTGAGCGCTTCGCTACCGCGCGCTCAACCCTGAAAATGGGCACAACGAATATCTCGCCGTGTATCAACTGTCGAATGTGCAGGACCTGGCATCAGCAGAGTATCTACACGTGCTCAACCATCCCACGCAAAAGACGATGCAGTTCATGCCGTCGCTGGGAAAGATGAGTCGGTTTGCTTGCGAGATCGTTTCGTCCGAAAGTTCATCTGTTTCGTCATCGGACCAGCCGGCTAAAACACACAACATGCTGTATATGGTGGTCTACGAAGTTGATGTTGCACGGCAAGACCACGACCCATTGTTATCAACTCAGGAGCATATTGGCCGGGCGCGAGATGCTGCATCGGCAAAGACGATGCATGTTCACTTGGCCAAAGGCAATCAGAAGCTTACCGAGATTGGTAGTTAGTGCCAGCAGGTCTTACGAAGGCGTGCATTTCACATCCTCTCAAGCTGTTGGCGAGACTGAAACACTGGCGGCTGACACGGTTATTGCTTTGTACGAACTCAGCCACAATCCGGCTGACAGCTCGATAGCCGAGGGCGACATCGTCAGCACACACCTTGGCGACACTTTAAGCCTACGGGGGGTTCGTATCAGGCATAACAATATCTATCGTCGCATCGCGTCCCTTGATAGATCTCCCCTTGCGCGTTGACGTGACCTAGACGCTTCCGCCTACGCCTATGCTGGCCGCCTTACCACGACGAAACGCATTCGGCAACGCGTGCCCCCATTTTTAGGCACCACGGCCAATCGAATACCTCTGGTAACAAAACCCATACAAGCCACAGTATGGGCACATACCAAAAATGGGTGCGGGTTGCCAGGGATCGCTCATGAGGCGTAACCGGTCAACAGGCTAATCGAGCCATAAAACTTGCCTTTCATCCTGGGTTGTGCAGCCATCGTCACAGTCGTTCTCGAGCCATCAACAGAAGAATCGGGTCTCCCAGTAATTCATTGACGCCAAAATCAATATGCCTGCCATGAGGATGCCCATCACTCTTCCATCCACCACGAATGTGTCCCCTCGCCTCCGCATCCTACAACACGCCCAGCTAGCCATCGCAGGCCTTGCATTCTTCGCCTTTCTCGTCACTTTTCTCATCCCGTTTCGCCACAAACTCTTCACGCTCAGCCTTCTCTACACCCCGCTCCTCACCTCCATCACCACCATCTTCTTCGTCGTCCGTGAGCAAAAGAACGCAGAGGCTGGAACTCTTTCCAAGCAGAAATATGTCAAGTACCAGGTGCTCAAGATGGTGGCTGCAATCGGCATGTCGTTCATAGGATTCATCGGATACCTAGCTAGCGCGCCTGCTGAGGCAGACCAAGACCAACATCATCCTGGTACGCAAGGAATGTGGTTGAACGGAGTCAAGATTGGAAGATGGCAAGGTCTACTGCTTTGGCTCAACTTCTTCAACTGGTACGTAACCTTTTAATCTGCAGTAAACACCGCTGGCTTCGTGGATGCTAACACATGCTTGATAGGGTCTTCCTCTGGGCTAGCTTGTTCTACTCATGCTGCATGACGAGCAAGAAGCAGGGTGCTATTGCCCTCGCCGGTGACGAGGCCAACATTGGTATCGATGATGATACTGCTAACGACGAAGCGATTGCCCGCGATCTTCAGGCTCGGGACCCCAACTGGCAGGCCTAGATTTGAGATGACGGTCGGAATTTGCGACGTCGTTTTCGCGTTGGACATAGTCGAGAGTAATATCTCGAAATCATAGTCTATGGGCTAGAATGGGAAAGCGATGGATGTGTTTAAGGCTGTTCAAGCAAGCGGTACTGTGGGGGTGAAGTATATCGATTATCAATTGATGATTTGTCCAAAATTTATTGGATAATAAAGATTTTTCACCTCATTTCCTGTGCCCGCATCCTTTGAACGCGTCCCACTTCTACAACCTCACTTCGCCTCAAACACATTTCCAGCGTTCAAAAGGGTGAACACGAAGAAGAAATATACTACCCTATTCCGTCACCGTTGCCATCCTGGTTGACAACGTCGTAATCGCCGTAGCATCAACATAGCTTCAAATTGTACAATAAGAAAGCGTTTAAGGTATACAGGATCGATGACGATCCGCAATAACAAAAAAACCATTCATAAGTCATAAACACTAGAAGTACACGGACATTATTACAAGATCAATCTCAGCGTTCACACTCCATCTTTCTCACAAAAAGGCTAGACTTCTGGATCCAGCACGCCAACATGCTGCGGCGTATGCGCATTTTCGAGTACTTGCCGCGTATCTTCAATGCACGTAATGTTATCCACACTATCGCCCGCGATGGGCGTATCATTCTTGCTAGATCGTGGCTCCAGAGACTGCAAATCCACATCCGGTGCACCTGAAGGTTGCGTAGAGTCATATCGCGACCGCCTACGTTGTGCGTCCTTCTGTAGCATGCCATGCTGATTGCGGCTGAAGAGGCCTCGGATGAGCATACGGCGTGGCATGGGGACTTCGGCGAAGATGTCCGTAGTGAATGGGCTTGTTTGGATTGAAGATTTTGAAGCTCTGAAGGACATGCGGTTCTGGTTGTGTGGGGTGGCGAGAGCAATGGTGCGGATGAGATGGGCCATTGACATTTCGATGTTGAGTTTGGCTAGGTATGCCAGCGGGTGAAAAATGGCGTAGCTGCTAGATGTTAGTTTGATGTACGGATTGTAAAGCTTGGGGTTGACCCACACGAATCCGTTAGGGATGCTCATTGCCGCAATGATCATGACGTCGAATAAGAGTGAGACTACAATGATGCGTTTGTTGAAGCGGACTAGGCGGTTGTACTTGTTCAGGCCATTCCTCACGAGCTCGGATTGTACGGTCTTGATGAAGTACCAGTTCAGGTACGCGTCCAAGAGTAGGAAAAGAACTTTCTCGATTCGATCCCAGATAGAGTTGATGCGTATCCATCTGAGGTTTAATTAGCTAAAACACCAAAGATCACGTGCAGCGAATACCTTTGACTGATCTGAAGACGCGCGGGTATCCACACGCAAAAGACGCTAATGTTGATCAAAGTGACGACGACCGCGGTTCCTATAGCCAGATGTCTTCCTCGCTGTCTATCCGGCAGAACCACGCGAATTCGATTGACGATAATTTGTGGCAACACTTGAATCTGAATCACCCAGCAAACCACTGGACTTGTTAGTCATCTTCTACTCAACAGCTGTGTCATACTTGCAGATGCCCATGTACATGTAAAAACTGGGACGTATGATTCTTAGTAAGAACAGCAGGCACACTACGGCAATGGCTACCGAAGCAGCCAATTCCAACCATATCATCCAGATATATGCATTTCTCCACGGCTGCCGGGACGCTCTCGTTTGCCTGAAACCAATGAAAGCTGCGGAGAGGCCAAAAATGTTGGCAATCCCGAACGCAGTGCTCGCTAAGATAATATCCGATCGGCTCACTGGATGTATGGTGTAGTTGTCGGGGATAAATGGACCCCAAGCTTTATAGCCTGGAGGCAAAACATTATTGTTGCTCATGAGCTTGACTTAGGAAGCATGTAAGCCAGCCCAGGCGTGATTCATGGTTGACGTTAAGGCGACACCAGGATATGCTGCAGAGAGGATTTGCGAACAAAGACTTGTTGTTGTGGCTTTCAGTAGCTTCCGTCAATAGTGGACAGCTGCGGGGCCGAAGGCGCTATATTACAAACAGTGGAAAAAAGCTCCAGGTATGAACAAAGGTCCGTGTGCCTATGTTGGGTGTAAGCCAACGTGCGGATTCGAGTCGTTACTATGGTGCATAACACGGGTGATTTAGAAATGTGTGCCAGTGAAGGAGGAAGCGGGAGAGGTTTTCGGCGGAAGCTGTTGAGCTGACATCGGCGATCGCTGATCGTGTCAATCATTCACGAACGCCTTAGCATCCGCTTTAACTGATTGGACGCCGCACAAAAAGGACGGCGTGGCTTTGGTGTCGTCGCCATTGCGCAAAAACCATAACACTTCTACAATACCATCATCAGGATCACTGGGAATTTTATATCTACGGATAGACGGATTCGTAAGATTGTATCTCGTCTCATGCAGGAAGCAGTGTCACAAGTTGCAGATGACAGTTGTGAAGTGTCAACGATAGCGATTGGAATTACGAAGGAGGAACTTGAGAAGCTTTTTTGATCATCATACCGCTGCTTTAATATCCATTTATTGGTGGTAGGCTGAAAAAAAACGACACGTACATGTCTAAATGCTGTGAGATTGCCAGAGTGTTGACGTAGGCCAAGATTGAATATGTTCCGTTCCGCTAGCGCCAAAGTTTCCAGCACGCGACACATCTGGCAATATCAACGTGAGCTTGCCTATACCGAATCATATCGGATCTACAAAATCTCCCATGTTGATATCTAGAAGTAGAAAGATTAGCTGGCTTTTGTCGTTGCGTATTACGAATCTCGTTCAACTCGGGTAATTAGCCATGGCGAGATGCTTGCTCCTATTCACGTGCTGTCCTCACAATTCCCTACAACCACGTTTCCAAATTTGATTTCTTTCATCTAACTCGCATTCCTGACCTTGCTCATTGATTGGAGAGTGAGCGAAGATTTGTCGATTGGTAAACATAATGGTTTTGTTGCAAGATTGAACCTAATGTTGGGAACACTATCTTCACCAGTGAGTTGCCCTGCTACGACCTTAATAAAGAAACGGCACACCTCCGATACGTCGATGATTCCCCAATCCTACAAGATTCCAGTATATTTTATAACGTCTCTTAGAGAAGCTGGGGCTGCATCCCATTGACAAGCTCTCGGGTCACGCCAAAGTTCACATATATAACTCCGATGTCGCATGGATCTATGCATGTCTATGCGCATAAGAATCCCACATGTTTGAAGACTTCGCTCTCACCTGCACTTGAAGCGCTTGCTGTGATTACTATTCACATGAAAGGCAACAAATACACACAAGCTTCGATATGGGATGCGAAGACTGAATTATAACAAGGGCGAGTTTGGCGGCTAGTGCAAATGACTGCATGACACAAAATGTGAAGCTGAATGGTCGAGCTACAGCCCGGAAAGTGTCATACATATCTGATATTCTCTGTGGCATAGAGGTGTCTCTGAACATTTGTTATCATTATTATACGAGGTTCTTCGACATGTGCAGCGTCAACAGAAATCAGTAGGACACAGCACGCCACCAGATACTGGCTTTTGCAAGCAATTCATTATTTTCATTGCCAATTATGACGAGTCGGGATTCCTCTGATCTACATACACACATAACGCCAAAGGTTGACTTTAGCCATCAAAGAAATCAGCATTTTAATTCAACTCTCCAGGACCTTCCACAGAGTCTTGATCATGGAAGAGGCTACCCGAGCTCAATCATTCGGTTCAAAAGGATTGGGTCTTGTCGTAGTAGTAATATCTCGCCTCTCTCATAGTCAAGAAATGGCTTACACTCCAAATATAAATGACGAGCCGCTTCCAGTAGATATAGCATACTAGTCTATTGCAGGAAAATTTGTCTATCCGACAGCAAGAAATTACATGAACTAGTACAAGCATATACAATTTCCATGGGGTCTTGCATGGCGCCAAACAGAGTATGTAGAAGATGGATCCTTATCGAGATCTCGATGATCCAAACCTTTGCAAAGCTCACTTTCTGCTCGGATATAATGTCAAAACGCAACGGACTTCAAATCAAAAAACTCGTTGATTTTTGGTAACAGAAAAGCACCACTGACAACGCCGATATTCGCAGTCTTGAAAGACTTATCTTCAGCCTGCAGTTCGGCAAGTAGGTCCTCACAGTCATTGCCAGTAGGGCTACCAGAAGACCCTTGTTTAGTAGACGAAGTCAAAAGAGGGAACAAGTACCAAATGACTACTGAACGATAAAATACATCCCGGCACCCGCTACTCCACGATCTCCGAGGCCCCCTCCTAAGCAGTTAGTCCCACCCAGTAGATCAACGGCCGGAGAACTCGATCGGTGCCCTAATGCACGACATGCCATCCTACTACCACTTCCCACATAGCGTACTGCAATCTACACGCCACATTGCTTACCAGTGACAAAACCAACGCCTAACTACGACCTGAGTTTTCTTAGCCTAACCAAGTCTGCAGACCTCACAACACAACATGAGCATTTTTCTAATGATTTGTTTGGCCCAAACCGCTCAAATTCCGATCCTGAGATGCTGCTCCGCGGCCCCACTGTACCCACGCTTAAAGATAAGCAGCTGGTTCAAGCTTTTCTGGAAAGATGCCAGCGGGGGAGTCGCCACGGGTGGTTCTGGGATATCCTCCTAGCATGCCCAAACTCTACTTTTTGTTATCTTATTCCCTTAAGCGTTCGTAGCTGTACACTGATACCACGATTCCCTGCTCGAAACACCCATTCACAGATTTAAGCTACGATGGCGCCGCAAACATCCATTCCGCTGGCCGCAAACGTACTAGGCACGCTGGGCACGGTATTCTGGTGCGTCCAGCTTGTACCACAGATATGGCGCAATTACCGGACGAAAAGCACAGTTGGGTTGCCGGAGTCGATGATGCTGCTTTGGTCGATTAGCGGCGTGCCTTTTGGGGCGTATGCTATTGCTCAGCAGTTCAACATTCCGCTTATTGTTCAGCCTCAGTGTTTCGGGGTACTGTGTGGTGTTAGCTGGGCGCAGTGTTTGATATATGGTCGGTATGTTGGGCATGCGTCCTATCGTAGTCTGAGCAGTGTATTGATGGATTTACAGAAAGTGGAGAACGTGGACTGCATCTCTTTTATTGGGTATCCTCCTTGTCATCTTTGCTGGAGTGGAAGTTGGCCTTGTGTTTGCGATTCAGCCGCCGTACTCGAGAGGAGTAGAGTGGCCGGTGTTACTAATAGGTATTGTTGCATTTCTTACACTCATCTCCGGTTACCTACCTATTCCTTTGGAGCTTCTTAAACGACGGGGAAGGGTTGTTGGAATTGACTTCATTTTCTTGGCCATCGATTGGAATGGCGCATTTTTCTCGCTCATGGCTTTGGTAGCTCAGAATGAGTTTGATGCGTTGTTCGGCACTATGTACGCCCTATGGTGAGTCACATACAAAGTTTTCAACTATTCTATGGGTACTAACCCATGACAGTTGCGCTATCGAGATGAGTATGGTCGTCTCGCATCTAGTGTGGCTTCTTCGGACTCGCGGTATTCAAAGGCGTGCCAAGGAAGCTGGTAAAACGTTTGATGAATACGAGGAGGGAATTGAGTGGCAGTCAAATGGCATCGATGTTGAGATGCTGCTTAAGGGTATGCTCATTAGGAAAAGCAAAGCCAAAGCCAAAAAAGGAAGTAGTGCTGGAGTTGATGACATCGAAGCATCTGCTACCCCGGAAGAAGTGATACCAAAGACCATTCCGAATGCTACCGTATAAACGCTAAGCCGAGGGTATCATAGCATCCAAGAACATAAAATATATGAGAAGTACTTCTAGTAGCTACGCTGAGTTCATAATCAACATCAATGTTATAAGTCAACACAGAACCATTAACAGAACTTCATTTAAGATTAGTTTCGGGTAGTTATTATTGTTACATGTTTCATGATAGAGCTAGAAATACCTTCTGGAAGTTAATCTTTCAAACTTAAGCAGTACTACCATTCACACTTCGCTTGCGCTGCATCTTCATACGCTGAGCTTCCGCATACTTGTTCTCTGCTTCTGGAACACCACGTATGACACTGCCTCTGCGCGAGGTTGGCATTGACCCGCCTTGCTGTGCAAATGAGTTTGCCCTACTTCCATAAAGTCCTGGTAAACTGCTAACACGGCGGCCGCCAGTCTCATCACGAGCTGCATTCAGCTGCTGAGCAAATGGACTGCGCTTGCGGAGCTCAGGGCCCTTCCAGTAGATGACGTAGACGGAAACGACCAGAAGCAAAGAGATGGCGAAAAGAATCGTTGAGGCGTATGCAAGATGCAAGTCGCCACCAATGTTCTGGAAGAACGGTGTCGCAGGAATGGTGAGAACACCAGCCAGGAAATCACGGGCCCAGCCGTTACCACCGGTTGCGGAGGCGGAGTAGGGTCCATAGGCGCAGATCATGTAATCGATAGTGGCCATGTAGATGGCGTAGTTGGCGATACCAATGATTGCGGAACCAATGAGAGAACCAATCCAGTGGATTGGCGGACCGGTGGAAGTCCAGGCGAAGATAATGAGACCGATAGGTAGACAAGGTGCAGTGTATAGCAACCACCAAAGTCTCGCCTCGTATTGGGCACGTTCATCTTCAGGCTTCTCCTCACGAAGGCGCTTATTGCGCTTGATAGCTGGGAAGAAAGAGAACCAGGCAAGGAAGTAGCCGATACCAATGGCGATGAAGGCCAGTCCGATAGCGAAGGGTGCAAAATTCCATTGCTCGTACACGAGTGCGTACGACTGAAGGAACATGAAAATGATGGCATCAGAGAAACCGGACAGTAGCGATAAGACAAGTACGATGGGCTCGGTGACGAACATGCGGAATGGACGCATCCAGGTAATGAGGATCTCGCGAACGCTGAAGCGTTCCTTGAAGGTCTTGAGTTCGTTCGGTCCCCAGATATTGTTTGGCTTGCCGTTCTTCTCGCCTTCTTGACGACGCTTCTTAGCAATGCGGTCCAAGAGCACTGTGGTACGAGTTTCGGGAACAAGGAGAGCGTGGGCTATTTGAACTGCAGCACCGAAGATTAACTGGATCCAGATGTTCCACCTCCAGGCGAGGAATTGCTCGACGAATCCACCAACGATAGGGCCGAGAACTGAACCACCAACAGAAGAGAAGACGATGAACGCTACAGCATATTGCTGGTTGTCACTGTACATGTTAGCTGTGTTTGTAGTAGAGAAAGAAGGTACTCACGGTTCCCACATATCAGCCACCATGGCCAAAGTAACAGAGCCACCAGCAGTAGAAAGACCACCAAGAGCACGAAAGCCAATGATAGTCCCAAAGTTCGGTGCAATACCGACAGGAATCTGCCAGATGTTGACCAGGAACAAACTGAGCTGGAGTATAGGCCATCGCCCGAGCTCTTCACTCCAGGGCGCCCAAAGCTCGCAACCAAAAGCGTATGTGAGTAGGAAAACGGCTGCACCAACACGCGCTGCCTGTGCGCTGACGCCGAACTCTTCGGAAATGCCGCTGACGGCATTGCTGTATAGCGATGTGTTGAAGTTCATGCTGACTTGCACCATGAAGATGACGCTGAGGATAGTCCATTTCTTCCATTCAGGGAAAGAAAACCCAAGCTCGTCGTAGCAATCTTCTTCGGTGATTTCATAGCGATCGTAGGTGCCGTACTTTTCGTAGTGTTCTTTGTCGGCCGCAGAGATGGCATGGTCAGCTGGGTTTTCTGTGTGAGAGTGGTCACCATCAGAGGCAGCCTTTTTCTCGAGATCACCAGCTTCGTTTCTGTTGACTGTATCGGCGTCGTGGATGTCTGGTCTTATTTCCGCGGCGGACGCCATGTTGCCGGAAGCTAAACGCTTGGGTGGTTATTAATTATTGGATATTCGGGTGGTAGTAAGCGCGCCTTCGAGACCCAGAAGTACTGGCTCTGAGGGCTGGGTGGATAGAGCTATTAAAGCGATATTTGCGCGTCATGATTACATTGAGGGCAAAGGATTTTTATAACTTGGCAGTGAAAGCGGTGATGGCATAGGCGCGGCGAACCAGGCAGCACACTGCATGCTGTGCGCATCACAAGGCACACAGTCAATGCTGAGGACGTCATACTACATTGTCCGCACCGACAGAGTTGTGGCGCTATGGCGCGTTCAAATTAGGGGCCGTTTGGTCCTTCAGGCCTACTACCCCACAGCCTCTCAGACCAGGCGATGCAGCAGTAAATATGGGGCAAATGCAAATCATATGTCGGCCGAAGCGAAGGCGGTCTATTGAAGAGGTCTATTGTCGTCATATCAAAGGTGACATTGCTTAGAGTATTAACCAAAAGTATGTACATATGCATTTGAGTGCGCAAGTTACAACGAAGCAAGTAGGCTTCTGGTCGCAGCTTCATACACACCAGGCCAGGGTCCTCCATCACCCTAGCTACGTTCCAAGCCTTATACACAAGACCTCGAAGACCATCCAAGCATCACAAGTAAGCCGCCCAAGCAGTGGCGATCAGTACCGCCTAGTCGCGCCACGAGCCTTAGCCTTGAAATTCGATAATCCAAGGTGACATTGATGACGTCACATTATCCCTCTCCCCATGGCACGAATCAACGACTGATCGGGGTCTCCATAGAACTCCACTTCATTGCAACAATTTTTTTCGCTCCATCTCTGGATTTTGCCTCAGTCTTGACAACACGAACGAGACACATGATGGTTGCTGCCATGCAATGTCGCGACAATCGCGGAGTGGTCGGCTTGCCTCTTGCGGAAGCTCCGGCAGCTAAGGGCCATCTACACCTACATACGTTTAGACACGTTCTGAATAATTTAAGATGAGGCTTAAGAAAAGGCTTTCAAAATTTTGTGAGATTTGTTCAACTGTAGGCAGCAATAATATTAAGAATTTTTCTCAAACTAGTCTAATCACCATGTTTTCCTAGCATGCTGGATCCGTGCAGTTACATTTCCAAGAAAAAGGATCCATTGTTGAAACGGTTCATCGCGACTACCACGACAGGTTGCCAGTAAATGTGGAGCCGATCTTAGGCGCTATATTACTCGTTATGGGAAGCTTTCTATTCACATGCCTCTACCCTAACAATCCGACCTCCGACTTTTCAGCCTCATCCGCTTCCGAGGACCATCTGCCGGTCTCTACCAGGGACCGCAACGTACGCTACTGCCCCTTCTAGAACGACCTAGTTTAGAAGAGTAAACCTCCGGACCGCTTTATCTTTTCCGGTTCTCCCCGTCTTGGGTTTTCGTCCTCGAGTCACTGTAGCGATACTTTTCCATCCTCGCTGTACTCAGTCTTCCTTTCCAACTATCTCATAATATCCAACACATTGAACTCTCGCACTTGACAACAGATGATCTGCCGGCTGGTCCGCGGATCAACGAAATATACCCCTGCCAGTCCGAGCTTGTATCTTCACACGAACGCTCTTTCCCACTCTATCTGTCCCTCCTCTTTCCAATAATCCACTCCACCCCTCTTCGTGAACCCCATCTTTTCCAAAACCCTCGCACTTCTTGCGTTCTCTTTTTCTGTCTCAGCAATAAACCTTCTTATACCTCTTTTTCTAACAGCCCACTGCATAATAGCTTCTGCGGCTTCTCGGGCCATACCTTTACCCCAGTACACTGGCGCAACACCATACCGGAGTTCTATCATTTCCAGCCAGTGCGGCAATGGGGGGTCTGCATCAGTGCGCGGCGGCATAGATGTTGTAGTAGCATCACGCACACCCGCATATCCTACCCATTCCACGTGACTCAATGCTTGAGATGTTGTTTCCGCATCTTGGTCTTCGATGACATGTAGTTCGTCGTTGGTTCCAGTAATGGGTTGTGTGATCAGTTGGTCGATCTGCGCTGTTGATCGTACGCCCACTGCAAAGTCGCCCATATTCCTACTTTGCCAGCATCGAGCAATGTCTCGCGTTAGGATGGTCTCCCGAGTCTCCGCTTCTGTCCAGTTTCTAGGTGGGAAAGAAGCTCCGAATCCCATTTCGCAAAAAGTTGCGTCGGCGTGTAGGCTGGCGTAGAGATTTAGATAAGATATATTGTTGACGGCGAGGGGTGTGGGGACGAGAATCAGTCCAGGTGTAAGGAGAATGAAAGAATTTGACTTTGTTGAAGACATTTCGCTGGCCATTCGTTATGTTCTTTAAAAGTTTATTGGGGTATTAGTTTGTTAATTTAAGAAGAGTGAGTATTGAGAGATAGCTTTAGGCTTCCAAGCCAGTCATACTTGCAGTGTGCTAGGCAAGAAACAGTCTAGCGTACGGTGCTCGAGAGATGTGCCATGGACTCAAGATGAAGAAATAGAAATAGATTTGATTGACGGGTTACTCAGTAAAATAACACAATCGCCTATATAGCACTGCTTTCTAAAATATTTCTACTAAACATCTAAGTTCTTTTCTTAAGAGACGATAAAACTGCGGGTATCGAATTATAGAGTTTCTAGAATAATGCTTTCATGCTAAGAAAGGAAAGAAAGGAAAGAAACGTGAAATGATATCCTCATCCCTGTAGCTACAATGAAGGAGAAGCGGGGGATATGTACACAGAGGTAGGAACCTTCGTATCACCACCCAAAGCAGACGAGGCAAGCAACGCTTCAGCCTCATCAGCAAGAAAAGCCGGGTTACTCTCAAACCGCGGATCAAGCCACAAAGCATTCGGGTCCTTATTAGCAATCATCTTCTTGATAGTCTTCGGCTTCTTATGGCCTCCCGCATAAAATATGGCCGCGCGTATAGCTCCAAAGACGGAGACGAGCGAATACAACTGTTTGTACAGGGGATACGTCATAGCCGCCCAAAATCGCGGTTGGAGATCCGGTCGGTGATGCGCGTTGAAGTACTTGAATGCGAGAATGGGGAGGGTAGCAGCAAGCATGAGGGGGAGGCCCAGGCGCCAGAAGTTTGTGTTGGATCCCATTGTGACGAAGACTGGTACGCGGACCCAGTCGACGACGATGGTAGCGATTGAGTAAAGGTGGATGAATTTTTGAGTGAATATGCCCCAGGGTGTTGTTTGACCGTTGAGGGATAGAAGCATGCGGTCTGCAAAGGCGATGAGACGGCCATGTCGACCCATTTCCCAAGAGCGATAGCGTTGGTTCCACCAGTTGAGACCGGGGCCGAGAACGGTTGTGGGTACTTCCGTCTCAAGTACGCATGTCGCATCGAATGCGATGCGCTTCTTCATGCGTTGCATCGAGAGACCGGTATTGACGTCTTCGGCGATGAAGTCTATCGAGTGGTAATTGCTAATGAGGTCGATCAAGGTTTCTCTTTCACAGAACCATCCTGCACCATGTGGGTATAGCACACCGCATATAGAGGACTCGGCAAGCTTGGTGAGACCAGACATTTTGTATTCGCAGTCTTGCCATGCTACGAGACACATTGGTACATCTCCGTTTGCATCGACTGCCTTAAGTGGGAATGCGCAGCCTTTGGTGACGTCGTCCATTTTGTCGATTGGAGCATGGAAGTTGGCTGGGATAGACACGTCGTCGTCAACTGTCATGACCCAGTCGTATTCTTTAGCGGCCATTGCTCCGACGAGTTGTGCCGCGTTTTTGCTGCCAATCGGTGACCAGATGTAGTTTATGTCGGGGTGTTCACTGCGAATGAACTTGCGGAACTCGGGCGACGGAGGGTGTCTTGAACGACCATTGTCAACAACAAATATGTCCTGTGGACGAAAGTGAACAAAGGCACTTTTGAGGACTTTGCTTGTGGCTTCGTGGTCGCTGTTGTGGCATGGGATGACTAATGCTGTGCGGTCATTTGATGAAGTCTCTACGCTGCTAGTCACTTTCTCGATGTCAATTTCGACGTTCGAGGCAGACTTCTCAGCAGATGGACTAGCAGTCGGATCGAGGGGTGGGACGCGCGCGACAAGAAGAATGATCGTGATCATGATTGGTTCGAGGCCAAGGACGATGATAAGAACGGGCAGCATGTTACTCCTAGTGATCTCCATTGACTTCTTGAGCCAACCGAAATAGTTATCGGAAATAGCAATGCCGACAGCCAGTGCAGCGACCAGCAAGAGTACAATGTACTTCTTCCAGGTGAATGGCCAAAACACCTCCCGTATATCGATCATTTGCCAGATTGTCCTGGGATGGACATGGTTGAAGACTTTCTGCTTGGCAGCAGAGAGAAAACGAAGGACTGCTCCTCTCCTGTCTTGTTTAGGGGCGCCTTGTCGAAGCGGTAGGGATTCGCTGCTGGAAAAAGCCGAGCTCGTTGCTGAAGAACAAGGCGTACCATATGGGTACTTTGAAGGTTGTTCATTGAAGCTTGTGATGGAATTTGAAGAGTCGTATGAGATAAATGCAGGTCTTGGCGGGAATATCTCTTCCTGTACAGAGATGAGAGTTCCAGATGAATGTGTTTTAGGAGGCGTATCTCGACTGGGTGTGTCAAAATCGAATGTCGGAGCGGGACGAATTGGTGATATTTCGTTTAAGTCTTCTCTACGTATGAAAAATATTCCAGCCATTTTGTGAAAAAAAAAAGAGAGAAATGATATTAGAAGAGAGAATTGGAAGTAGAAGCAAGCGTAGTACCTTACAGGAGGGTACATGGAATCGTAATGAATACAGTCTCTCATACTTTTGAAGACTGTATGCTTATTCTCCCTCGATCTAGAACACGATTCCAAACTATCGATTTTGAATTACTATACTAGCACGTCAGTAACTCGGGATTTTTCGAACTCAGCTTTAAGCCACAATTCATGCTCTAGATTTCTGCAGACTCCAATACGAAGTCCCAGTGTCACTCAGTACATTCATTTCGAGCACTTGGTTCCTTTTTTAGCCCCATCGTCTTCGGGTGTGATTACCGCTGCTCAGCTAGATGTCTTTCGTGACTTACTATCGTTGATCGACACAGCGAGCTGTAGCCGAGACGATGGCTGTATAGTCTAGACATCCACCGATTCTCTCTTTTACCAATTTCGATTTTCGTCTGCACCAATACAGTAAAGTGCCAGTCATCTAACAGCACGTTCCTCATCGATTTGCGGCTTTCGCCTTCTCGGAACAGCCGAAAGGAATACAAATCCCCCTTGCATCTGCGCGGTTCCTGGCACGCATTACTTATTTGGCTTACAGTTGGTCGCTAAGCGAGAGGCAAAGCTGAAAAAGCAAAAACTTGTTCTCTATTCTTGTTGCGTAAGCGGAACCTCCATGTTCCTGGCACGTCAATGTGTAATGTGGCTTTGCTATGAGGGCTAATCTGCCGTGTAACCTGTTTCGTAGGGCGTTTAAGGTGACAAAACATCTGTACACGGCAACTTCTAGGCACTCCATACGCAAAGATTCAGATGTTTCGAATGTTGTGAGAGACCTGTACATCCAAAATTCAGGCTTCAACTAATGGGTTAGTGAGCATCGAGCTGGATTGCTCCAATGTTCACCACGAATAAGCGATGAGATGGCTCGATTGGATTTGAAATAATTTCGCGCAGATAGCAGAAAAGCTTCTCCGCGGTTCACACACATGTGGGTATGAGAGGTTTGATCCGTTACAGACTATACCTAGCATGGAAAAGCATACAATGATGTAGTGGCGGCACATTATGCTCGCGCCAATTCAACAATCGCCTTTGCTGCCACAGATCTAGACCGTCTACGGAAATTTCTCAGCTGGTCCGGCGCCTCAATTAAGCAATATGTGGTCTGGAAGAGTAAATTGACAATTCCCGAGCGGATGTGACATCTGGCACTCGTATCTTGAAGGCAGCGAGGCTACCCGATGTGTAAGCCATTGCAGAGAAACTGTATGTTCAAGCTGAAACTAATCGATTTTCGACAGGTTCAACAAGCAATGTAAGAATTGGATGCATCGAGAGCATCTCTAGGGTTTGACGAGGTTGTGAATACTTAAAGCAAGTAAAATTCTGCGCTCAGGATCAGCAACCAGCATATTCTCAAACTTCAAAATGTCTTACTTTGAGACACGCTCTTCTGCTTCTTCCGAGAACTCCACACCATGCTCACCAGCATTCAGTATCTCTTCAGTGTACAGCACTCCCACCTCTGAGATCGATGAACTGCAGTACCCCGGTTTGACAGCATCGAGTCTTCGTCGATCGAGACATGTGCTAGTTGTTGGTGGGCTTGGTTATATTGGCAGTCATACATCGTTGGAGCTTCTTCGAGCAGGTTTCAGTGTTGTGATCATAGACAATCTCGACAACTCATACATGACGACACTAGACCGGATCAAAGCACTAAGAGACGACTACTACTCAGCCAGCTTGTTGAGCCCATCGCTCATGTTCCACCAAACCGACTATCGGGACGTGGACGCAATGTCTACTATTCTTCGTCAGTATGGGGCTGGATCACCCAGCTCGGTAATTGAAGGTGTCATCCACTTTGCTGCGTACAAGGCTGTACCCGAAAGCATTCAGCAGCCACTCAGGTACTATTCCAATAATGTGTCTGGAATAGTCACCTTCTGCTCACTATTGGATAGTCTTGACATCAAGACATTGATCTTTTCCTCGTCAGCAGCCGTTTATGGGGAAGTGACGTCTGAAATTGGACTACGCATTAGCGAGAATCATTGTGTCCATGAAACTCGTGAGTGGACCCGGATGGATGGGAAGACCCAAGTCACACAAGGTGGGTGTACAGCAATCTCCAATCCCTACGGCCGGACCAAGTGGATGTGCGAAGCTATTTTGAACGACTTGGCGATATCCGACCCGGAGTGGCGCATCGTGGCTTTGCGATACTTCAACCCAATTGGCTGCGATGCGTCCGGGAAGCTAGGGGAGGACCCGAAGACGGAACCGAGCAACCTGATGCCTAGCTTACTGCGGGCAATGGATGGTCGGATGTCACACCTCAAGATATATGGCACAGATTGGGATACCAGGGACGGGACTGCGATGCGAGATTTCATTCATATTAGCGATCTGGCATTGGGTCACGTTGCAGCCCTCAAAGCAGTCAGTGAGTCGCGGCTGCGACGCGGATCGCTCAATACGTTCAACCTGGGCACAGGGGACGGTAATTCGGTCAAGGAGATCGTGTCAGCTATGCAAACATGTTCGGGAAGGACTATCCCCATAGTGGAGGTAGGGCGGCGCGCTGGTGATGTGGGGGTTGTTGTGGCGGATCCCACGAGGGCAGCGGAAGAACTTCAGTGGAGGACGGAACGCTCGATCGACGATTGTTGCAGGGATCTTTGCGGATTTCTTCAAATCGACGATTGCGGAGCAAAGCCACAATGTAGTTGATATTCTAGGCTTGGAGTGATTTGTTGCTAGCGGATATTGGGGAAAAAACTAAAACATAGCGCCTTGTTTCGAATCTCTTGCCAAGGCGGCATTTGTATGCCGAGCGTGAACGTCATTGGCTTTCCTTGATGCAGCGCTACTACAATGCCGCCAGTTCCTCTGGTACGATTTCTTCCTCCGCTGTCGTGATGAACTATGAAAGATCTAGAAACGCCACACTGCTATGCCACTGTCCAACCAACAGAAGTCTCCCGGGTCGAGTCCGAGTGTTTAAGCGCCTTGTTTATTTTCGATACTAATGCCAGGGAGCTGCCCAAGCAACATCAGATCCACTGGGTTAGCGACATAATTTGTAGCTCATCTCCATTCTGAGCCCTTCTAGCTGCTAAAAGCTGGAAATTCTATCCATGCAGTAGCCCCAATCACCAAATCTTCGAACCAGACTTTCGCCATGTTTACCACAGCCACACTTCTGTTGATCCTCGCCATACCTGATCTCCTCACTAAGGTAGCTGCAGAAGATTGTACTGTATTCTCTACCAATGGCTCAACTGCGGCGACATACGACTTCTATCGTTTCTATGACTTTCGAAAACTGAGTGAGAGCCTCATTAGCGATGCGGATACAGTACCCGACAGTGATGACAAGCAATCGATAACAGTAACATCTAATGGGCAATCGAAGATCATTGCTGCTTCTCCCTGGAGTGCTGGTTGGGATGCTCGACATTGGTTGAGGCCAGCAGCGAGAGAAGGCACTATTGACATGCACTACACACCATCCAGTGTATCAATAAGTAGGTTATCGAATGTAGGGGTCTTGTTTATATTAACGAGTGATAGGTAAGAACTACGATGGGTCGAAAGAATCTTCTACCTACCTTACTCTTCACACGATACGGCTGCGTAACGGTACGCAATTAGCATCTGAGTTGGACTTTATCGAACACAATGCCACATATGCCTCGATACGTATGTCGGCGCGCATACGTGGTGCAAGTGGTGCAGTTGCCGGCTTCTTTACGTACCACAACGACACCGCCGAATCAGACATAGAAATTCCAACCGGGGGCACCGGCAACGAAATACATTACTCGAATCAGCCAACCACAGATCCTGATACAGCAGTACCAGTAGAAGACGCAACATTCAACGTTTCTATGAAAGATCATCAACCTGCTTCTGTCTGGAACAACTATCGATTGGACTGGATACGCGGGAGCAGCGCATGGTACGTCAATGGTAAGCAGACAGCCGAGACTAGTGTGAACGTGCCAGATGCAGAGAGTAAGATCATACTGAACCTTTGGAGCAATGGCGGAAACTTCTCGGGACGAATGAATACTGGAAATGAAGCCTGGTTCGATATTCAGTGGGTTGAGCTACTGTTCAATACCACTACTACCACTGCGGCAAAGTCTAGTGGCACCGTATGCTCGGTGGAGTCTTCTCCAGGATCTCCAGTCCCGAGCACCTCTTATTCTATACATGAGAAGGCTTCGGGACATTTTTGGTGGGTTGTCGGCCTCGTATCGATCGTCACATTTGTACAGTCTATGTAATTTATGGAGACGCTGGCAGCCAACCTATTTGAAGTTCAATCTCATAGATACAAAAAACAAAAGGCTGTTCAATGCCAAGGAGGAAGATATGAATATTTAAGGAAAGATCACTGTCAGCGAAGCTGCTCCGCAAACGCTATCGGGATGTGATAGTACTGAATAAATAGGTGCCGAACTAGAGCTTCGCTGTGGATATTACGAACAAGCATTTAACTTGAGCCTTTACCTGCTGGGTGATGTAGTGGATTTCATCTATGTTTGATTTCTTGAACAGGTGACTTTTACAACATTCCTAAACGAGTTTTTAGTGAATTTCCGAGGCACCTAGGGATACTCCACAGACCCTTTTCTTTTGGTGTCCTGAATAATTAATGTTACTGAATTAATCCCAAGGAGTATCACAAAGTCCGTTCTTGCTTTCAACTTCATTCCCTTATGATTGGTGAACCATGGCCCCTTCCTGTCGGCCTAGTGCCTTGGCACTATGCGTGAGGATGAGGTAGCCTTGCGGCGTTTTCCCAACAAACAACCTTCCCCACACTCTAACAGAACACATGTTGTATCTCTGAGGCCATATCAGCGATCAAGTACCCTCACATATCTCACACGCCTCACACAGCTTGAGCTTTGGTGGTGCATTACTCGTAGCCAGCCAGCCTTGCACTCTTTCCTGACTTCCCGCGATGTCGAAGACAGTACAACCATATGTTCTAGCAGCGGTCGCAAGGTACTTACCTTCTGTTAAAATTAGGAAGTGCTTGACTAATACACAAATAGATGCCTAGATTCAGGCGAATATTCAGACCTCACTATCACATGCGGAAGTGACGTACACAAAGTGCATAAAGTGATAGTCTGCACTCAATCCGACTTCCTTGCAGCCGCTATCCGATTCGGGGGCAAAGTAAGTTGTTTTGAGCAGTACCTAGGCTTTATTGACATATACAGGAAACTAAACAGGCGAACATCAAACTTCCCGACGACGAGTCGACAGTTGTCAAGTTGCTTGTGAAATACTTTTACACTGGCGATTACAAATGCGAATTAGAGAGAACTTCTGAGGGAAAATCTCATCAGAGCAAGCCCAGTTCGTCCTATACCCAAAACTTTCCACACACCTGTGATGGATATTATTGTGAAGCTTATCTCTGTCCTCATCATTCATGCGAAACCCACTGCAATGGCAGTTGCACGAACTTCAACTGCCAGTATTGTTCTAGCGAAACGCTCAACTTTTTAGCTAAGGGTCTTCTGATTCACGCGAAGGTGTATGAACTTGCCGATAAGTACAACATCGTGGGCCTGAAGGAATTGTCTAAAGGGAAATTCGAAATTGGGTGCAGCGCCTTTTGGGATACAGATACTTTCCCAGTTGCTGCGCAGTACGCGTTTTCGACAACGGTGGAAGAAGACAAAGGTCTGAGAGATATCGTTATCTTCACTATCGCTACCCGTCCACAACTTATAAAAAAACCGGAAATTCAAGTTCTCTTGAAAGAATTCGGCAGCTTGTCTCTCGGGGTCTTGTTGAAGAAGGCAAGTGATCATCGCTGGTTCTAGGAAAAGAATAAATGTGGTCACTCTGCTCGGGGAGTTAGGGTGTCACTACAACACCCACCATCTACTAATGGAGAGGCTACAAGAATCATTGTGGATATGAACACGTAAGACCACTCGGCTCTTCTCCGTCTTCCAAGTTTCCATGTAATCTCACCAGCAAGTAAAGTTTAAACTTCAACCTGCCTGAGTATAGCGTCTTGGCATAAGCCTCCCTAGATACCACACACCACCAGAACAATCAACTTTGTTTTTGTATATTCCGTTTTACTTGTTTTGCATTTTTACATTTATAGTAATTCCACTAGACGCATTTCCAAGCATCCATATGGCGTCGGAGACCGAAACCCAGATTCTGGACTCAATCAAAAGGTAGTTACATATTACATTCATGATCATCATTCGACCTCTTTCCCCCACACACCCACCGGCAAACAACGGAACCTAACCACCACACTAGCTCTCTGATTTCAGGCCTCTACTCCGACCTCAAAATAATCTGCGGCCCGGACTCCCACGCCGTTCACAAACTCATCGTCTGCCCCCGCGCCGAATTCTTCGCTCGAGCACTCAAATTCGGCGGTCAAGTCTGTGTATACCCCATCCAACTCAGCTATAGTCACGTGAAAAATAATACATAAAACTAATCATATATATTTAAAAAAAAAACAGGAAGCCGAAAAAAGCGAAATCAACCTCCCAGAAGATGATCCATTGATAATAAAACTCCTACTTCAGTACCTGTACGAAGGCGATTACCACCTCTTCCCTTCCCCTTCACCTTCCCCTCCCCTCACACCCATCATCCACCCTATTATCAAAAACCGCCCAACCCACACCCCATCCGGCCTCCCCTACACGTACGACTTCCCACACACCTGCCGCACCCCCCTAACCCCACACTCCATCTGCCCGCACCACACCTGCATTTACGCCACCTCGTCTCAATCAGGAACTTGCAGCTACGCATGCCGCTCCTTCACCTGCTCCTTGTGCACCCCGGCCCCATCACCACCAGCCTACGCCGGCGCACCCGCAGACCTCCTGCTACACGCACAACTCTATGCGGTGGCTGAGAAATATCAAGTCAGCGGGTTGAAACCACTCGTTACCCGCAAATTCTCGAGCGCTTGCGAGAGGTTTTGGGGGGACGACGAGTTTGTGAGCGCAGCACGATGTGTGTTTGCGAGTACGCCGGAGAGGGACTGGGGGTTGCGCGGGGTTGTTACGAAGACGCTATTTGAGCATTTGGGGGTGTTGATTGGGAGGGAGGAGGTGGAGGAGTTGGTGGGGGATTGTGGGGAGCTGGCGGTTGGGTTGTTGAAGATGAGTGTTGGGGTGGAGGGGTGTGCGTGTGTGAGTACGCCGGGGACGTCGGTGGATGGGTCGTCAGGAGGGATGCCGTCGCCGATGTAGATGTGGGGAGATGGGCTTAGTGGTGTTTTAGAATCAAGAGTTAGATTATTTTTAATAGAGAGGAGGAAGTGAAGGCGTTGATTGCTGCGATTTTACGTTGTAGAAGGCATGTAGAATAGACAACTAAATTACTACTATGATTCATCTCTCCCTCCTAGAACCCCCAAATCCCATCTCTATACTCCATCTGTACAATCTCTCTTACTCTCCCTCCACTACACAACCTACAAAACACCGTCCCCCTATTTCCTCCTTTTGACCGAATCTCTTAAAATCTCTCACTCCAATCCGAACAAACTTCGTATATTCTTAACTTCCTAGCAAGTCCCTGTGTGTAAAAAAAGCACTCAAAACAACAAAGGCGATCTAGAGTAATGAAATTGCTCATTATCTATATGTCTATCCAAAAAAATTGCCCGCGCTGTTAATTTGGTGATTTCCTTGTGTTAACTATAGGTTTAAAGTTATTCCAAAAGAGAACAAAAAGGAGAGGGTTTTTTTTTCTCACCGCGCAACAACATGGCAAAAAATAATGAAGGAGAAAAAAAAAATATCATAACACGCTATGAAAATGAATTTTAACAAGACAAACGTTATCCCCGCCTTCATGTTCTCATCAATCCATCCACCTCCCTATCCTTCAAATGAACCAAGTGTACGCATTCCTCGTCATATCAAACATCGTACCCCATGCCTCCCAGTCTAACTCTCCTTTTCTTCATGCAACAACAATAAACATCCTCACAACAATCTACAACCTAACCTCACCCTGTCTCTTAATCCCAAGTTTGCTCAACCGAATCCTAGGCACCACACCAACCAAGACAAGCACACTGGCCGTAATCACCGCCCAATGCTGCATATGTCCTACATAAATATTGTATGTAGTCCACGTAGCCGCGCAAATAGTAGCTAGACCCAGCACAGCGATAAAGTAACCGGAGAGCCTATGGTACTTGTAGATGCTCTTAGCGTTCTCGACACTGCCATATAGCTGCGGCACGTAGTACTGAGTGAAGCCGACAAGGGCCTGGAGGTATACAAGAACGTAAAAAGCCAGGCCGAGGCGAGCGTGTGCAGAGGCAAAGTGCTCATGGCCGGGACCCTGCTTGTTGATTTCGATGATGATGAGGCCGGCGGTTAGGGCGGATGCGCCGACGACATGGAAGAGGAAGTGGGCGAGTGTGCCGGCGCGCTTTTGGTCGGGCGTGTGCGTGGGTTGCAGGATGAGGGCTGCTTGGATGGCGAGGAGGAAGCCGGCCTATGGAGAGGTATCAATGATACGGTTGTCGCGAAGGGGTTACTAGGGTGGTGCTGGGGTAGCTTACAGAATTGAGAAGCTGTTGGCGAGCCGTGATTAGCTGGTTGCTAGGAAAAGAGACGTTGTGTTTAGGGCAGCTTACCGGATGCGCGGAGAAGAAGATGAGTTTGTTGGAGAAGATGGCTCCCCAGACTATGGCGGCAAGGATCCAGATGCCGGCTTGGGCGATGGGAGCAGTACCTGTGCATTTGGTTAACAGCTGTCGCCCCTCGCAAACCTTGCCAGTAGCTTCACATACCAATCCACAAGTTGTGATACAGCGGCTGACCCTGCATCTGACTTGCATCGCCTCTTCTACCGAGGAGCGGTTCTTCTTCGCTCTGGCCGCGCGCGGCAGCGGAATTAGGCGGGATTCCGGTCGCAGAAGCCATTTTGAAGCGCGTAGAATGAAGAACAGTATCACTGCAATCCTGGCGTATGACAGGGGAAGAGAAGAGAGGAAGAATCAATGTCAGCGCGCGACGGGAACCCGAGGGAAGCGTCGGACTTTAGAGTATCTTAGCACCTCATGCCGAACAATGACGACACCAGCATCCCTGCACAAATCCACCAATGAGCGTGATCTGGATGTAAGCTAGTTGATCGCCGCAGCCAATAGGGGCAAAGATGACAGCCTGCAGCACAAGTGGTGATGTTTGCATCGCTGGTTTTGGGGGAGGACGAGGCCGCCTTTGGATGTCGCACGCCTGTCTAGCCTGTCACATAATGGTCGCGTGAAACTGATGCATGCATACACATACGACTGGTATGCATTCCCCCATACACCCAATCGGCACTACAAAGCTTAATGCGCTGAAAAAAATATCAAGTTGGTATTGCCAATTCCTAAGTATACATCTTTTCCCTTCTCCATCCATGTCTCTGCGTCCTATATTGTACAAGTGTGCGCCCTCTGCGTAGCGCGGCATTGTATCGTAAGCGTCTCGTCCGCATCTCAATAGCGGTCCTTCCCTTTGCCCCAGGTACCCATTATGCCAATAGCAAGCAACCACTCTCCACTTCTCTCCATCTTTCCAAATATCCATACGCCGTCAAATGCCCATTGCATTCATATCGAAAAAAAAACGTACATTCCTTCCAAATCAAAAAATTGCTTCCACCCCAATCCAACCTAACGGAATACATCTTGACGCGGAAAATATGCAAGGGTAATACGCGTCTAATGCACACAGAACAAAAAGTCGTCAATAATTCTTGTCAGTCCGCCAGAACCATCTACTATGTCTCCAATTGCGCCGTTCGTTCATGCTAGTAGGAGCAGTGCCGAGGTCCATGCCCCAATAACGGATGTGTGTGAGTATGTGTGTGCGTCGAAATTAAAAAAGTAAAATAGTAATTGCTCTCACTTCTTCTTCATAAGAGCAGGTGGTTTCGAGGGGTCCGCTGGATCCAAGAACTTGGTCATGGCAATAGAGAGCTCCTTGAACTCGACAGGTTTCGTCACGTACGAGTTGAACCCCGCTTCCGCGCACTTTGCATACACATCCCCGAGGACGTTTGCGGATAGCGCTATAATCGGGTGCCGACGGTACCCATGCTTCTTCTCCCAACGTCGGATTTCTTTGCAAGCCTGGTAGCCGTCTTTGTTGGGCATATGTAGATCGCACTGCAACCTCGTTAGCCCAGCTCACGCTCATGACGTGTGTATTTGCTTACAAGGACAATCGAATAATAACCCGGCGGCTTGGAGAAGATCGCTTCTGTCGCCTGAACTCCGTCAAGGACAGTTTCGGTCGCAATGTCGATTCTAGCCAGGAATTTCAGGATGACCTACATCAGTTAGCATCAGTCAACACGAGACACTACTCACGTCTACTCACAGTCTGGTTGATCTTGTTGTCCTCAACCAACAACACTTTGTGGTTCTTACCGCCAACCCTTCGTTTAAGCTCTTCAAACACAAGCTTCTGACTGACAACAACCTGCTGCGCGCTGTCCTGGTTTCGATCGGTACTTGACTCGCGTTGCTTTTGTGGATCGAATATGATTGCGAATTTCGATGGCTTAAGAGGTCGATACACAAATTCCAAACGGCGGTCAATGTGGAGTTGTTCATAATCATACACTGGTGCCTCCTTCATGAGTTCCTTCTTCTGCGAAGGATCAGACACTATGACGACAGACGTGTTGCTGTACGCTGTGGAGCTAAAGATCTGATCAACAATGGCATGCACTTCAACAGTGTCATGCAACACAAGCACAACGTGGGTGAACAAGACAGAGTTCTCGCCACCCATCATCTTCTGAGCACCAATGATGCTCGACTGTCCAGTGACTTGGTGAGGGATTCCCTGGGGTAGCGTGTTCTTGATGTGCCTTATTGTGGCTTCTCTGCTGTGTTCAAGAGGACACACCACCAAGATTGAGTACATGGGAGGCTGTAGGGAACTGCCCAACGGAGAAAGACTGCGGTGCGGCGAGCCGGGACGCACAGTCTCATCCGAGTCAACAGAAGTGCTCGATTCGTCTGGTCGAGTTTCTTGGTTGCTGTTAGTTCGCTTTGGAGGCAAGGCCAGATTCATGTTCGCATTCGAGGCCGGGTTAGTTTCTTGCATGTAGGACGACGCTGATGACCTTTCTGACCGCAGGCTCGACTGCCCAGTCAGTGCAGAGCTTGTCAAAGAGTGATCTGAACTCCCAGAAGAGAGCGCAGGAGAGTCTCGTGAGCGTTCAGAGGTGGTCATGCTAGGTACGGGCGACTTAGCCGGCTCACTCTTCTCCGACGACACGCTCGAGACGCGCTTCAGAGGCACATAGCCAGGATTTTGCGATTGCACAAACTTCTGTAGAGCCGATGGCTGGAGCTGCTGTAAGTTGGCTGGTGGGGGAGCGATCGGTGGCTCGAAGGCGGGCGTTCCGGGTGTTGACACCAGCGGCTTGGGGTAGTCGTCTGCAGTAGGAAGACCAAACTTGATTGTGAAAAAGAAGGTTGAACCCTTGCCTGGCGAGCTTCGAGCATCCATTCTTCCACCATGGAGTTCGACAAATTGCATAGAAATAGCCAATCCAAGTCCGGTGCCGCCATGTTGTCTTGTACTGCTCGCGTCAATCTGACTAAATCGCTTGAACAGATACTTGGCCTCGGCGTCTGTGAAGCCTTGGCCAGTGTCCACCACTTCAAATCGGATCATCGTCTCATTGTCCTTTAGTGGTCGAGATCGATCGGACGGCTGCAGTTTACACCGTATGAAAATCTCTCCGTGCTCGGTGAATTTGATCGCATTCCCAACCACGTTAAGCAGGACCTGTCTAATGCGGAACTTGTCACCCTTGACTTCTGCTGGCACCCCTTCGTCTACCAGGTAGTTGAGCTCGAGGCCTTTCTGGATGGCGAGACCCATGTTGAGGTCGTTGACTTCCTCGAGCAGAGACGGCAGATGAAGCCATTCCATGGAGAGCTTGATCATTCCAGCCTCCACCTTGGACAGATCAAGAATATCGTTGATGAGATTGAGCAAACTGTCGGTACTGGCTTTGATGATGTTAACGTGCTCCAGTTGCTCGGTGTTGAGGACGCTATCCAGAAGGAAGTTGACCATTCCTGAGATACCATTAAGTGGCGTTCGGATCTCATGCGACATGTTGCTCAAGAACTTGGATTTTGCGTCCATAGTCTCTTTGAGTGTTTGCTCGAGCAACTTGTGGTCGTTGATGTCTGTGGCTGTTCCATACCATGTCTCTTCGTCACTGGTTTCCGCAAGCGATTTCTCCAGTAAGATTCTCACAAGGTGCCACCTGTAGTCACCATCCTTGTTGCGAAGTCTGACCTCAGTCGAGTAAGACGCTCGCCCGTGGGCATCTTTAACAACTCTCAATATGCCAGTGCTTGCCAGTTTGGATAGCTTGGCTTGAGGCAAGTCCATCCTATCGGGGGATGAGCCACTGGGACTGGTGATGGTTCTTTCTGTTTCTGATGAAGCGTCAGAAGCATTAGAGTCTTGTTGTCCCTGCTCAGATGGCAAAGACGTAGGAACATTAGCAACGCCATGCTCATCTAGCTCTGGAAGCTTGCACTTGATGACATCGTCGGGATGGACGTGCTCGAGGAAACCATTTCCGAGGGCCTGACTCTCGCTTTGGCCAGAAAATGAAATCCACTGCGAGTTGCAAAAGGTCAGACCCCTACGGTCTGACACGACAAATACAATCTGAGGACTCGAGTTGGCCAGTGCGCGATACTTGGCTTCTGAAGCAGCCGTCTCCTGTTGGCGAGCTGAGTTTTGTTCTGCAATGTGTTGTTCGTGAAAGTCCATGTTGGTGCCGATCCAGTGCACAATCTGCTGGCGCTTGTTCCTCAGTGGCGCCACTCGAACATAAAACCATCGATAGCACTCATCGAAGCGTTGTAATCTGACCTTCATCTGCAGCTGCTGGCCAGTTCGCAGAGATCTACCCCATTCGTCCAAATATGCATCGCGGTCTTCGGGATGAATTGAATCCCACGGGTTTTGCAGCACTTGGCGTGAGGTTTGACCACGGTAAATGAGGAATTTGGAGTTGACCCAGCTGATTGCTCCAGTGTTGGGTGCGGCAGTAAATATCTGAACTGGCAAAGAGTCGATAATGGTCCGAAGCAAACTCTCAGAAGGAGGTGGCATCTCAGAAGATTCAGTGGTAGACATTATCCTTACACTGCCTTGGGGCACTTGCGGTTGCCCTCCAGGTGTGGTCGCGGCCGGGAGCGATTGGAACGACGAGCTAAAATCTGCACCATACGAGTGTAGGAATGAGTGACCACGTTTAGTAGTATCTTGCGCTTGTGCACGGCGGGGGCTCGACACTTCATCCTTCTTATCCTCACGTGGCTTTGAAGGATCTTCCTTGACATTTTCAGCCACCGGGTTCACAGTCACTCGCTTTCCAGAGCGTTTATCGGTTTTTCTTGAACTCTGTTCTTGTGGATTTGAGGCAGTATTGGTGTTGGTCTTGTTGGCTTGCCTTCTAGCGTCAAAGTAGCTTTCCACGGCCTCGCTGCCAGCAAGATGACCAGGCGTGCCACTATGCGAGTGCCTACTGGAGAATCCTAGCGAGGTATCCCAGCCAGGCGTTCCGGCGATTGACCCTCCTGAACTGTATCTAGAGCGACTGGAGTAGTCAGATGGACTAGTGACGCTACCTGCCACAGAGTTGGTGATGTCTCCCAAGTCAAGATGAAGCAAATCTTCAAGACTATCAGAATCCGAAGACATGGTCATCCCTCCTGCACCACCAGTAGCAACTCTTCGTTGTCGGATAGAGGCGACCTGAGTCTGGGCATTGGTAAAATGCCATGCATTCGAAAACGAGGTAGCTAGGTGGGGGCCCAGGTGCTTGAGAGAGTTAGTCAAGTTTCGTGGATATGGCACGATAGGCGACAGCAGTGAAAGAATGGCAATAGGTGCTTTTCGCACAAAGTCGCCCTGGTGGAACGAGGTGCCCGCAGACTGCTCAGACTGTCTTCGTGACATTGCAGGTGTTTGTGATGGTGTATTCGTGTCTGCTGGTGCCATTGTCTGTGACAAGGTTGGATGTATTAGTGGTATGTGCGTAACAGTGCTAGCTTTATCAACGCCAATAGCCTCAACCATGCCATACTGCGTGTAGTCTGGTGGAGAGCGCGATGGATTGAATGTCTCTTCGTCGACGTTACCAGTAGCAAAGAAAGGGTTAGCATCGGCATCATTCTGGATAGCTGGCGAAGGGGCAGGCGACTGTGCCCAAGGTGAAGCTGGATATTGCTCATACTCTTCGTAACGCGGAGGCAATCTAGGATCACTGGTTCCAAGGCCGACTCGCCCACGGGCAGCAGCTAACTTGAGGGCTTCCTGCGCGGCAGCACTGCCCTGAACTGCAGATGGTTTGACCGGATCCGTCCTGTCTTTTTCCAAGTTTTCTTTGGAAGTTGAAAAAGACGTTGAATAGTCTCTAGTCAAAGTTACCAAGCGACCTCTCTCCAAAACGCGATTGACTCCCGAGTTGTCTATCAATGCATCCGGCTCATGGTCGAGAGCACGCAGGACATGGTACACGGCACTGGGCGGCGAAGGCTCTCCAATGCTAGAGAATTCCGGGTCACTAAAAGTCGGGCCTCCCGTCGGAGTCGACTCCGCAAACGCGCAAGACATGCCATCAAAAGAAGCTTGCGAGACCTGTCGCAGCGGGTGATCTGGCCTTGAGCCCGTATGGGGTGCATGGCTTGCAGATCGGAGTGGGCCTCGTGGGCGAATTGGCTGTGCAGGCATCGGGGTGTCCGGTGACATGGTTGGCTTCTGCCGTTCGTGGCCCGCGAAAGAATGATGTGAGAATAGCTTCGGTCGCCTTTCCGGAATGACTGTGGTAGGTGGAATATCCACAGATTCACCTTCCTGGGGATTTGATGTATTTTCGGGTTGGGGGTTGCTGCTCTGACCTGCAGATTCTTGGTACGTTGCGGCATATGCGCTAGTGTCGTTGGTAGACGCAGCGAAAGTAGCTTTCTGACCCCATGGTACGTTCTCGATATCCGAGGCGTCAGCTGGTACTGCAAGTGCAACCCGTTCTGCTCCATAGTGGTCGCGCATTATCGACGTCACAGTCGTCCACCATGCAGCCAAACCAGGCTCGACACCCAACCGCAAGACAACATCGTAGAGGTTGGGACTAGGGAATCGTGGATCTTCAATGGCCGGGCTGGAATGCTGTCGACCTCCAGGTGCAAAAGGTGTGGTGCATGCGGCGGGCGTGCTGCTCTCCGAGGCGATGTGCTCACTGGCTACCGTGTACTCTCGCGATTGACCGGCAGAAACAGTAGGTGAAAGGTTAGTAAAGGGCGTATGGAAAGCCGAAGCCCATCTTGGCGTGTTGGGGACCGTAGGAAATGGATAGGATGGGGTCCGAAGAGGATGGGCGGCAGGCGTAGGTGGCATGCTTCCGCGGATGGTCCTTGCAGATTCGGTAGATTCGGTAGATGCAGTCGAGGCAGTCACGGCTGTGGGCAGCGGGTTCGGACTAGGAGTAGGGCTGCTAAAGGCTCCCTCGAGCGTGGGTGAAATTCCCGGCATGGGCTCTTCCTTGATGGGAGATATGCGACGAGGACCTGGCATGTTTGCATTGGGGCTGTTGGCCGACGCCCGTAGGCGTGCGCGCTGTTGCTGTTGCTGGTGCTGCAGAACCTTCAACTGCAGACGGCGCAGCCTCTCGACCTCGAGCTCATCGGGAGAGACGTTGCCCTGTGGCGGGTGGGCGGTGCTTTCTGTTGGAGTTTCGTCGGCCTGAGGGTCGGCGGCGGGTTGGTCGTCCCAATGGCGGCTGTCAGTGTCGCTCATGTCGATATCGGCGGCTTCATCGTCGCGGTGGTTTGGGGGTTGCTGGGTCCGGGGCGAAGTTTGCCAGGTTTGGGACAGGTAGGATTTCGCGTCGCTGGCGGCCAATCTCTGCAGTGGCGGGCGAGGAGTGGGTGGCGTTGCAGTCGTGGATGTGGCTCTCTTGGAATCAGGAGAGGGTGTCGGGGTCTTTGTCATTATGGCATTCCCCAGCGTGCCGCGTACAGCGCAAGTGGCGTGGTGATGGGGTCCGGGTCGGGATAATATGGTGCATAGATAGGACCGGTGGGCTATGACGTCGCGGAGAGAGTTCCTGGCAGCACGGGACGGTGAAGAGGCGGCAACAGCAGCACGACGGATGGGCCGACAGGGCGGATCAGCTGGGGCTGAGGCTGGTGCTGTATCGGCAAGGCGAGTGGCCGCGGGGAGTCAGAAGGGAGCAGCGGGGAGGTGGTTGGTGAGAAAGAATTGGGTCGTGTCGTGGGTGGGCGTGAGGCCGGGATCAGGAGCAGGAAGGGCCTTGGTCGCAGCTTCTTCTAGACGGCTTCTGGAGCCAGGCCAAGCCTGCACCGAGTGACGGCAGACAGGGCGGCAAGCGTGCGGGCAGGTAGTGTAGTGCGGAAATAGGCTGGGGGGGCAGGCGGTTGATGGCGTGCAAAAGCGTGCGGGTGCCGGAAAGCGTCGTCCTGCGGGCTCATTGCAGCATCCCGCGCGAGCGAAATTGACTGTTGGCGGATGGGCGTGCTCTGCCCATGGTTGTGCTTGGCGGCGACGTCATTCAGGGACTCGCGTAGAGTAGATGCCTAAGTAAGCCGAGACGCTGTCGCAGTAGTGTAGTACGCCCATCGTACTCACACACACTACAGCGCTGTCTGTCTGTAAGTACACTACTTGCAAACAACTCACCTCCATCCCCTGCTGCCGCCCAACCATGGCCACGATCCCTATCCCAACCGTCGCCTCTGCTGATTCAGCTGTGGCTGCATCTGCAGTCATGTTCTCGTTGTGCTCCACCGCTTTTGTTTTCTGCAACCTTGTCTACCCGCAACGGCTGCATCTGTCCTGGCTGGAGCCGAAACGGTATGCTCCGCGCGTGTGATTGGCCAGCACGCCATGTTCCATTTTGCCATACCCCCCATATCGGGTTAGCGTTTTCTCCTCGCTCATCGCAATCGCAACCTCCATGCTTCAGGCTCACACTGGCCATCGACTAGCCTACTGCTAGACAATTCACCAGAGCCTCACTGGCGACGCCCTCCGCCTGAATATGATTGACGTGTCGACTGCGCTATCCCGCTACCAGACGCCCATGGCACCATTAGTGGTGCCATGCTGCTGGCGGCTGTAACCCCCCCCCCCTGGTCCCGCATCTGCAAGCTTTGCTCCAAGCACCTTGTGCGGCTTGCGCGCTTGTACGTCCAATTCCTGCTGCATCCGTAGCAAGCATGCCTTGTTGGCTCGCCTCGTATCTGCTATTGCAATTGCGACTATGCGCATGCTGGAGCGGCCACGCGAAATCAAACTCCCTCGATCCCTCGCCCACTCTCTAGTCGTCAGGAGCCGAGTGGGTAACCCCCCTCACGTGCCTTGTCCACTGGCACCAAGCAACCCCCACCTGTCGTCTTCCCTACCCGACAAAGTTTCGGTACATGCAATCTACCAGACACCTCACATACACAACACGAATGTGTTTTGCATACATGTCATACGATATTTGCGACTCGCCATCTCTAGTCTAAAATCCCGGGAACATGATCCGCGCCAATTGCGGGTACCTTGCATTGCCCACCACAAACATACACGAGATCTACACACAACCGCATCACATACGCGCCACAGCCGAAGCTCAATCACTGCAACTTGTCTGTCTAGTATGACTGCACTACCAGATCAAATGTCTCGAACCAGCGTCAAGCACGCAGGATGTTATTTTTGTACCGGTGCGTCGTCAATAATAGGGCTGCGCAATCATACTGAGGATATCTTGCGCTATCCCTATCCCCTGTCAAGACATAGGCAGCACAGCGGCCCAAGCCGGCCCTGATTCAGTGACAGATCGCGATGCAGTGGTTGCTGTATTCGAGCAAACTATTGGCCAATCACGTCAATCCTCACACGAACGTTATTCATCACACATGGCTGCCACGGTCCACCCTAACCGTCATCCGAGTCAGCCCCACTCTACCTCCGAATCCTAGCTTCGTCTTGCGCGCTGTCTGTGCAAACATGCAGCATCATGCCTGAAGACATGCCTTATCTATAGATGCACGTATCTATGTCAAGTCCTTGGCGTACGGCGTCCCATTGACTGTGGGGAGAAGCCACAAATCTGTTGTTTTTTTCACATTATAGCCACATCCCCAGTTTGATCTTGTTTGCATCAACAGCCACACAGCCATATAAGTTTCATGGCTATTTTGGGGCAGTGGTGAAACGTACGAAAACTCTATATGTGTATGTATGCCTCTCAAGTGGCACATGAAAACCACTTGAGTATGGGAATGTCGTGTATACTCTTTGACTTCATTGATCAATGTCGCTCGCTAGCTTTTCATGCTTGTAGAATTAAATCATCTAGTGTATCATTAACAGTACTTTACACCTCATGCATCCTATCTTCCTTTCTCTTTCCAGCTCTGCTCAGCCAAAAGATACACGTGTGAATGGCCATGTCTTTATGTTGACATTTCTGCGTATGGAAACCTCACATAGACACGCAACCATTCTTACGTACGTTGTAAGCATGTAGATGCTAAAGACACTAACTACCCTTTTGAAGTAAATGACAAAGGCGCATGAAAAACACACAAAAGGCCGTCCCTCATCGGCGTTCCGACACAAGGAAAACATCTCCGTGACTTCCCTGGCTCAGACATTGCCGTCCAATCAGCACTCAGCACACAAACCCTCTTCTCCGCATTGCGGACCCTCGGTTTTCCTCCACATTCCGTGCCCGGCCCAATTCCGCCATGCCGCTCACATGCCGATGGAACCCATACTAAACCATTGCCCGAGGCTGCTGCCATGTTAAACCACATTTCTACAGAAACTCTGCATTCCTTTTCTACAATTATTCGAGGGGGCGCCTCTAGCAAAACATTCCTTCTTGGACAGTAGCTTTTCTTCGGTGTTCGCATACGTACTCGAACAAGATGCCTTCAATATCCCACACTCTCCGCACTGCGCGCACCTTTTCGCGAAGTACAACAAAGGTTATACCTGCCCATCAGTTAGTTGTCAACGTATTTCAGGGCAGCGATTGACTCCAATAGACATATCTCAACCTCTCGCGCTCCTTTTCTTCGTCTCTCCGCCGCAATGAGATCAACAAAGTGTATCCCAGCGCTGCAGCCGCCATCGAAGACATGCAGCCCAACAGTACACTGCTCTGCGGTGGATTCGGTCTCTCTGGTGTACCCGACACACTGATTGAGCAAGTCAAGAACACACCCAGAATCACCGGCCTGACTGCCGTCTCCAACAACGCCGGAGTCGTAGGAGGCGGTCTCGGCCTGCTCCTCGAAAGCAAGCAAGTCAAGAAGATGATTGCCAGTTACGTAGGCGAGAACAAGGTCCTCGAGCAAATGTACCTCACAGGAGAACTCGAGCTCGAACTCACACCGCAAGGCACTCTGGCCGAAAGATGTCGAGCAGGCGGTGCCGGCATCCCAGCCTTCTACACACCCGCCGCCTTTGGCACTGTTGTTCAAACCGGCGAACTAGCACTCAGACACAACAGCGACGGCAGCGTAGCCCAGTACTCGACCCCGCGCGACGTCAAAGTCTTCTCCGGCAAGTCGTACGTCATGGAAGAAAGCATAAAAGGCGACTATGCCTTCATCAAAGCCTACAAAGCCGACCGCCTGGGTAACGTGCAATTCCGCTTCTCCGCCCAAAACTTCAACGGCGCAATGGCCCGCAACGCCACCACCACCATCGTCGAAGCCGAGCACATCGTCGATGTCGGCGATATCCCCCCCAACGCCGTCCACGTCCCCGGCATCTACATCGACCGCGTCATCCAGTCCACCGCCGAGAAGAAAATCGAAAAAGTAGTAAACGCAAAGGATCCCTCCGAGGCCATGGCTAGTCTGGGTAAGCGCGACCGCATCGTCCGCCGCGCAGCCAAAGAATTCAAAAACGGCATGTATGCAAACTTGGGTATCGGCATGCCCATGCTCGCCCCTTCTTTCGTAGACGCCAGCGTAGAAGTCCAGCTTCAGTCTGAAAACGGTATCCTGGGCCTCGGTCCTTACCCGGCAAAGGGACAAGAAGACCCCGATCTCATCAACGCGGGTAAAGAAACAGTAACCTTGGCTCCCGGTGCCTCGTGCTTTGGCTCCGAGGAATCATTCGGTATGATACGTGCGGGCAAGATCGATCTTACTATCTTGGGTGCGATGCAAGTTTCGGCGAGAGGTGACCTGGCGAATTGGATGTTGCCGGGCAAAGTTAAAGGGTTTGGAGGCGCAATGGATCTCGTGTCGAATCCTGAAAAGACAAAGGTGGTGGTTACCATGGAGCATACGGATAAAAAGGGCAGACCGAAGATTTTGAAGCAGTGCGAGTTTCCGCTTACGGGCAAGGCGTGTGTTAGTAGGATTATTACCGAGTTGGTGAGTTTCGACCCCTTTTTCCCTGGTAAAATATTAGTTACTGACCATGTGCTTAGTGCGTATTCGACGTCGACTTTACAGAAGGTCTCACGCTGGTTGAACTCGCTGATGGAGTTACGGTCGACGAGATTCGAGAGAAGACTGGTGCTGAGTTTAAGGAGGCGGCGGAGATTAAGCCCATGTTGTAAATGCCTTGTATATTCTTGAACCAAACGAAAGAAGAAAAGAAAAAGAGATAAAGAGAGAAGAAGAGGAAAAAGAATACCATGTTGATGATCGAGCTTTACAAAAAATTATATTTTTACCCTGTGATTTATACATGTCCCCGCATGTTATACGCTCAGAGAAAGACACCTACCATGTCTATTCACAGAAGAAGAAGAAAAAAACAAGAGATTCTACAATAAAGAAATGAACGATTGATAAACTCCCCTCTTTTAACCACGAAAAAACAACAAAAATAACAACAACAACAACACGAAACACGCACACTTCCACTTCCCCCCAACCATTCAGCCACTCACAAAACTAAACGAAAACACATCAGACACCAACCCCCCTCAATCCGTCCTCGTCTTCGCACTCCCACTCGCCCCATGAATCTCCGGATCATAATCCTCGCCCCTAACCCTCGCCGCCCTAACCCTCGCCTCCTTCGCCTCCTCATCCCCATTCTCCGTCTCATCAATGCCCACCTCCCTCCTACGCTGCCTCTCCCAATCCTCGCCCTCATCCTCACTATCACTCTCCTCCTCCTCCTCCTCGCGCACAACCCCGTATCTCGCATCTTCACCCCCAGAAGCCTCAGGATCCTTGATGAAATTATCGATGATCCAGTATTGCAAGGCGTTCATGATGAGCGGGAAGACAAACATGACAAAGGCGATTTGCAGGGCGGTGTTGCCTTCGGTCCAGCGGAGGGCCCAGTCGCCGATCCAGGCGATCCAAGGTAGGAGGGCGAAGAGGACGAGGACGCAGAGTTTCATGCCGATGAGGCCGAGGAAGTAGATGATGGATTGTTTGAGCCACCAGGTTGCTCGCGGGGGATGCCCGTAATTGCCTGAGCGGATGGATTCGGGGGGGTTGGCGAGCGGGGTGAGGGAGAAGGCTTTATGGAGGAGGCGGAGGAGGAGGACAAGAATGGGGATGCCGATTGTAGTCTGTATGTGTTGGTTAGTTTATGAGGAAAGGGAAAGGACGGGAGAGGACTTACGTCAATAGCGAGGTTCAAGAGGTAGAATGAACATGGGTTTGGCTGGTCGCCCTCGCTGTCTTTGCTGACTAGGTGCGTTGTAGTGGCTGGTGAGACATTGGCTACGTCGAATTTGCCAGAGGAGAGCATCGACATGAGGATGTTCGCGAGATGGAGTAGGACCGAGCCAAAGACTTGCTTGGATACGTCGAAGAACCAGATCTTGAGCGGTCGGCGGGGATGTTCGCGCATCCGCTTGACGGCGAGCGAGGAGACAGCAAGAAGTCCTAGAGCTGCTTGTACTAGCAAGGCAAAATCTCCAAGGAGATTGCACTCGCCATTTCCAGATTCGCCGTCCATTGGGTTGCCTTGTGCAGCGGCTTGCTTTTCAGGTTCTCCCGTTGCCAGAGGTTTCGTGTCTGGCGCGGCAGATGTGGGCTTGTGTACGTTCTCGGGCGCAGCTTCTTCGTTGTTCGCGTTCGCGTCGTCGTCGTCTGTAACCGCAGCACTGGTGGTCGCTGGTGCAGGGTCGGTGGGTTTAGCTGGTTGCTCTGTCTTCACAGGTTCTGGCTCGACGCCATCTATGCCCATAAGCTCGGTCTCGAACACTGTGGTTGCGCCTTGGTTAGCTCATCGTTCTAGCAAATGAGGAAAAAAGAAACATCTCAGCCACACAAAACGTACCAAGTGTTGATCCGGCCGGAATGACATCGATGGCATGGTTCCCATATGCCAGCTCCGGCGGTATCGTCAACTTCCTGCCCTCTCCAATACACATATCCAGCAGCCCCTGATCCCAGCCCTTGATCACCTGGCCCCTTCCAATCGTAAACCTAAATGGTCTTCCAGAATCATAGCTCGAGTCGAACTTCGTGCCGTCGACCAGCGTGCCCTTGTACATCATGGAAACCTTGTCTCCATTTTTTGTTTTGCGCGTGCATTCCACTGGTCGTGTGACTTCGATCTTGAGATCTGCTGCCAGTGCGAGCGAGGGCAGCAGCGCCAGTCGGAGCGCGAGAAGCGCACTGAGGGGCCGCATGACAGCGGCGGGAGAGAGGAAGGTAGAGAAGAAAGGGTGTGGTGCCCGCGCAGTTCGGAAAGTACAAGGCGGTCGCTGATGTTTCCCGTGACAAGAAAAAAACCACAAAGCCGCAAGCTATTCGTCGGCGGCAAGACAAGGTATGGGTAAGCAGAGACGTTTGTGCACTCTCAGCCACGAATCGATGCTGATTGAGGTCGGTCCTTCGGGTGAACGTGTCAAGGGTGAAACACCGTCCGTGTGGCGCGCTGCCAATTTGGATGCAGCAGCTGCAATAGCAACAGGAGGGGGATAACTGGCGCTCAACACCAGACTTGGTGGTGGGTGTGCTGGCTCCTGACGTGCATGACACCTCCTCGTGAGGTAAGTCGAGTTAGGGTCCAATGGGCAAGGGTGCGCCTAGAGCCCGTGGCGGCTCAAGTGGCGATCATTACGATGGTGTGCATGCCGGACTGATTGGCTGCTGGGGCTGGGCCCCAATGACTACACATGGAAGCACGACATGGGGCACTAGGGTTCTATCGGAATGGGATTTGCGTTTTAGCTAGTATGTAGATTGGTTATGAAATACCGCCGAGGGATTTACATATACAGCGCTCACGTGCACAACATGCGAAGACGATATGCGGATGATGATACAAAGCGAATGTCGTCGCCTCCTCCTCCCAACCCATCAAATTACTTGCAAAACGCCACTGATGCTACAAAGAAAAAACGACGCGGTTCAAAGGGACAAATTAGGGAATCCCCTCAGCATATTGCTGGAGGGTTTGGCAATGGTTGCTAGATGCATGCCTACTACTCGTGGTCCTCTGGCCGCTTCAATGGACTCGCCCTTGCTGGACTGTCCACTAATGCGGCTCCATTCACACCAGGCGCAAGCTGAAGACTGGTGCGCACTATGCTTTGCCCTGGCCGTACTACCACGCTGCCTCTTCTGTCGCGCTCCAGAGGGTCTACTGTATTCACCGCCGCATACTCGCTCTGGTTCTGCAGATGGGCATTCATGAGCGCCTCCTCCCTCATCTTCTTAAACTTCATGTAGTTGTATGCGGCGATGCTGCCAATAGTAACGACAAGCCCAGTCAGGTTGATGGGCGTAAGCGGATCCTTGAAAACGAGATTTGCGGTTCCAATGGTAACCACCTCCTTGAAAATGCCACAAATGCTAAGGGTAACGACCGAAGTCCGCTTCAGCAGAGCAAACTCGGATGCGGTCATGAGAAAGGCCAGGACTCCCGGGAATAAAAGAATGCCAATGCCGAGAGCAGTGCCCTTTGTTTCGAATAGGTGTGAAAGGCCCTCCAAAAGCGCGGGGAAGCCTTCCACGGGTATCGCGAGAATGAATATGCTGAGGAACATGACAGGCGCAAGGAAGAAGATGGAGGAAAATGGGTTGGCCGTGGCGGGATTGCGCAAGAGCAGTATCTGGGTCAGGGACCAACGGAAGCCCGACGAGCACGCTGATACCATGACGAGAATGAAGCCGAGCGTGTGAAAGGCAGCTTCACCAGCTACCATCATCACGACACCAGCAGTCATGATGAGAATGATGAAGACCAGTCTCCATGACGGTTGTTCAAGACGGAAGAGGAATGCGAAGACGAGGACAAAACCTAGTGCAGATGACTTGCACATTGCTGTTCATATTAGCCGTCTTTTTTCCTAAACAGTGGCGCATGCGAGCACTTACTGAAAAAGGTTAATGAGATGAACTTCAAGCTCGTATTACCCAAGCCAATGTCCATGCCAGTAGCTGCACCACAGGGTCCAAGCCTGCTAAAGTAGAACCACTTGGTCATGAGCGGCTTCTTTGGGTCCAGCGGCTCGGCACGCCCTCTGGCGCCATGCGGGTTAAGGGAGTCATGTCTTGGTCGAAAGGAGGGTATGAGAAACAAAACGAGCGACGCGAGAGTAAACTGCACAATCATGTGCAGGCATGTGGTGAACAAAGGAAATGGGAAGATATTCTTGGCCTCGCCGTCGTCCTTGGCCTCCTTGAACATCCATTTGTTGTAGACGGAAATGGATATGGAGAAGAGATACCTGGAATAGGGTCAGTTTCACATTCAGTCTTGTGTATCTGCTGCGGTCGCGTGCTTACCACAGACCAATGAGGACGGCATTGATGAGCATGGATTTGAGGAGATTTTGGTCGGCAATTTTCTTCTCCTCCTTTGTGTACGTGTCGTCAGGAACAATGCGCTGGTCAAGCAGGGTGTTCCTCCTCTTTCTTCTCCGGCGCCTGCGCCTGTCTCTCTTGGTGAGGCCCGTCTCCTCGTCATCCTCGAGCCCGTCTGCGCTCATATCGTCGGTGTCGTGTTCGTCGCTGTCACTCAGGGAGTCTGAGTCTGAGCGGTCTGCGCCCGACGACTCTGGACCTTCTTCGGCAATGTGGTCCGAAGGGCGGCGGCGGTGCTTCTTAGAGTCTGTTCTGGTGGGTAGGGTAGCGCCGGCGAGGGAGGAGGAGCGTCGTCGAGCAGCGGCGTGGTCATCCGTCATGGTAGGGACGGGTGGGTGGATAAGCGTGGCGATTTGAGTGCGTTGGGGGACCCTGGGGCCTTCATCCGAATCGATGTCGGAGAGGGAGCTGTTGGAAGGGAGAGAGGGCAGGGTCCTCAGCGGGAACTCGTTCCCCGGACTAAGCAGCGGGCCTTGTGGTGCAACCGAGTCTTGTAGCTGCAGCCAGCGAGTGATGCGGGTCTGCTCTGAAGTCATGCTGCGAGGCGGCGCTGTGCTGATTCGCCTTGGCCCTTCACCGCCAAGGACAGGAGAGGCTCTAGTTTCCAGCTTGCGGGCCACGGGCTAGCATCAGGGGCTGGTGCGGGGCGGTGCGTCAAGGAGATGCTTCAGAGCAACAGAAACAATGCAGGTACGCGAATTGTATACCAGATACACACTCATCCGTACACGCGTAATGTTGTATATATTCGGTCGTCTGCTACAAGTACGACCGC